ACCCTATATCCGCTAACATTGCTCGTCGAGGGAGGCGATGGCTTGGCATACGTAACACATGTCCTAACCATCTCAGTCTTTGTAGCTTCACGACTTCGTCGATTGATTTCCCCTGTTTACCTAGAACTCTACGCCTAACCTCCATGTTGCTCACCTTATTATGCCACTTTACACGGGAAATAGAACGCAGGCACCTATGATCAAAGACAGCTAGTCTTTTCATGTCTTCCACTCTCAGTGGCCAGGTCTCACAACCATAAAGGAGGACGGAGCGGACTGATGAGCAGTACACCCGCCCTTTGGTCGATAGTCGAACATCTCGTCTACGCCAGAGTCGGCGTAAACTAACAAATGCGAAACGAGCCCCTTGTATTCGTGCTGAGATTTCGTCAGAGATCAGCCCGTTGGGGCTGATGGTACTTCCCAAATAAGTGAAGCGGTCAACGTGCTCTACCACTTCACTTCCTATTTTTAAACTAGGCGTCGATGTAGTCCAGTCCTGTAACATCATCTTGCATTTGGCGGGAGCGAATCGCATGCCAAACATTCGTAGATTGCGGCTCAAGGTGTTTAGAAGACTCTGCATTTCGTCAGCGTCTTCGCCTAGAAGGACTATATCGTCTGCATATTCCAAGTCAACGAGATTATTCCCCGGTAGCAAGTCAATCCCTGAGTCGCTGAAGTCACCTAGGGTTAAGTCCATTAACACATCTATGATGAAGTTGAATAGAAAAGGAGATAATGGGCATCCTTGACGGACACCACTGGTCGTCATCAGTTCAGATGACAGCTCGCCGTAAGCCCTCACCTGGCTGTATGAGTACGAATAGAGTGCCTTAATCAGTGCAATATATTTTCTTGGAATTCCCTTTACAGCCAAGCATCTCCAGAGAACTTCCCGATCGACAGAGTCGAATGCTGCCTTTAGGTCAAGAAATATAATGACTGTTGGACGCCGGTAGGAATGCCTATGTTCTAGAATCTGTCGGAGGGTGAAGATATGATCAATACACCCTCTTCCTGGTCTAAAGCCTGCCTGGCTCTCTCGTGTTTGTGCTTCCCGAGCACCACTCAGTCTACGCATGATTATTGAGCCTAAGACTTTAGATACTATATTAGTCAAGCTAATCCCTCTGTGATTATCACAGGAAGACTTGTCTCCCTTCTTGTATATGGGGATAATCAGTGACTTACACCAACCCGATGGGACTTCTTCTGATTCCCAGACGCTGCCTAGTACCTCAGTTAATCCGGACAGTAAGCTGTCTCCACCGTACTTAAATACCTCTGGCGTCATTCCATCAGGTCCCGCTGCTTTGCCTAGTTTCAGATTGGTGACAGCTTTAGTAACCTCAGTTAGTGACGGAGGACCTGTGTCTATATCCCATTCAGGGAGGTGTTGGATGCTCGGAAGGTTGAGCGTGGCTGTGGGCAAATTAAACTGCTCCTCATAATGCTCTTTCCAACGATCCAGTCGTCTATCCTGTGAGCTAATTATAGTGCCATTTTTTTCCGAGATTGTCTCACTAATGATTTGTCTTCTCCCACCCGTTTCCCTGATGAGTCCAAAGAGTTGCCTGGTGTTGCCTATCCTCAAAGCTTTCTCCATCTCTTTGGCTTTTGTCGCCCACCACTGTTCACGGTCCTTGCGGAGACTTTTCGTAAGTTTCCTCTTGTGCAGCTTTCGCTCCTCATTGAATTCGGAGCTCGCCGGAATAAGTCTTCTAGCATCTATCAGTTCGGATGAGGCGGTGGAGATCCAGTGGTTTTTACTCACCTTTGGGTTTACCTTATTCACAGCTTTTACAGCTGTATCTATGGCTGCCTGGATATTTTTCCAAGCTTCTTCAGGGTGAGCACAGCTGTCGAACACAGATATGTGTTTAGCTAGTTCTTCCTCAAATACGGATTTAGTTTCCTGATCGAGCTGGGGACGTGATGGTTTTACCGCCAGCTGTTTCCTACGTCCGTTCAGTCGTAAGCACACCCGAGCGCGGACCAGTGCATGGTCGGTATCTACGCACGTGTTCCAGAAGGAGCGACAATCTCCTACCGACCCACGCCAACGATAGCTTATTGCTATGTGGTCTATTTGTGTCCAGCGTTGGTTTGATGAAGGGGGTCTCCAAGTCAAACAGTGTCTCTCCTTGTGTTTGAAGTTAGTGCTTACAAGAAACAAATGATTATCAGAACAGAACTGTAGGAGACGGTCACCGTTGTCGGTTCGCTGGCACGGAGCTCCATAGGTGCCACCGACATCCTTCTCACACACAGTGTTAACTACTTATCTAACCTTTGTTACAATTTCTTTTGTGTTTATTATTTATACTACTTATTTTTATTAGTAAGTAGTAAGAGTTTATATTTTGTTTATTATATCATCACTGCGTAACTATAACAATCGCTTTCTATTGAAATTTATCTTACTTAATCTATTCATTTTATCTATAGTTGAAGGCTATTTGCTGTACGTACTTTGATTATGTTCCACTTTCTGTTGAACATTTATTTATTCTAATCCCTGTTATTCTGGACATTCGCCCACAGTTTCATACTGACCGTGGGTCGCGTAGTAATAGTGTGCGTGTTTAACAGCATTCAACCTTAGATACCTCACAATTCGAGAACTGTGTTTTTCAAAAATATCCCTAGTTTTGAATTTTAAGCGTTATTCAAATGTTTGATTCATTCAAATTGAAAGTTGAATTACAATTTTCGTACCGGATTTATGAGAAGAAAACCACAGCTACATGTCTGTCTGTCTGCCTTGTCAACATAAAAATTTCAACAGATGGGCAGCAGTTCAAGTCACCACATTCAATGTAACACACAAAACAAGAGAAGAAACTGGAGAAGAAATGCATAATAGAGACAGTAAACATGAATATGAAACAAAGGAATGGTGATAACGAAGAACACTACAGTTTTATTGGGTATTATAAGTTACAAGGAGTAAATGCACCTGCGTCATTGAGGACAATTTTGAGCCATGTCACCAATCGTCTCTTCGTCCCGAGGACCCCAACCAGTCAGGAAGTCTACACCTTCCTACTTGGCTGGCTTAAACTAACTGTTACGGATTTCATTGACTGACGAAGCCATGTTTTGTTTTGATCACCAGTGGCTCTTTTCCACTCTCACCATATGTCAGCTAACATTCCCCGTTGAGGAAGGCGATGACGAGGGCTGCATACGTACGTAACAGCCCAACCAGCTCAATATTGCTCACCTTATTAGACCACTTCACACGGGAGATAGAACGCAGACACCTATGATCAAAGACAGCTAGCTAGTCAGGCTTTTCATGTCTCCCACTTTGAATGGAAATGTGTCACTCACAGCTAGTCATAAAGGAGGACGGAATAGACTGCTGAGCATGACACACGCCCTTTGATGTATAGCTTAGCCGGATATCGCGTCTACACCAGAGATGGCGTAAACTGGTATATGCGAAACTAGCCTTCTGTATCCATACTGAAATTTTGTCAGTGATCAACCCTCTGGAGTTGATCGAGGCAACTTTCCAAATAAGTGAGTGAAGTGGTCAACACAAGTGGTCAACTAACCACTTCACTCCCTATTTCTAAGCTAGGAGTCATTGTAGTTCAGTCCTGTAGCGTCATCTACAGCTACATACTACTGATAGAATCATATTAGTGGTTAGAAACCACTCACATCAAACATTAGTACCTTTTAGTCCCTTCTAGGCTCGAAGGGACCTAAACTTACTTTACTTTACTTCGGCTATCTCCTACGGGAGGATGAGCCGGCTTCATGAACGTCTCGAATCATCGCTGCCCAGGCGCGGCAATTTGTAAGAGAGTTCTTGAAGTTTCATGGGAATTTGGTACGAGTGATGTCCCCAGCATCGCTCGGCCTTTTGTTTGAGAGTGCAGCTCTAGCCTTTACACAACCAAGTGTGACCTACAAGGCAGTAGGAGTGGAGTAAGGAGTCCACTATCCATTGGCAGCCGATGACCGGAGTTCGGTTCATACGCCTTTTTGAATGGGGCCAGACATCCAGGAAAACCAACAAGCCCTTTGTCCATACGTCTGCCGGTGAGCTCCAGTGAGCTTCATACGCCAATCGTTGGAGGTTTGGAATCAGGGTTTAGCCATCTCCCCTAGACTGTCATCCAATGGACAGTCAACCCGGTGGAGAGCGCCGGGCATCCGCTTTCGCCCTCTCACTTTGGTGAGAAACACCTCCGCCACGTGAAGGCAGTGAGTAGGACTTCCTCAGGAGAGGCTATGTAAGACGCCCGGTCATATGGGAGCATTTCAAGAGGTGTGCGGAGGGGTGGCCAACCCGCAGCGCAAGGCACCCACCCCCGACCATCCTGAGGCTTTGGAGGGACCTAAACACTGGACAGTCATCTTCCTTGCTTGGAACACAGCCCACCAGTTGTGTACCCAGATATGACTCACTTCAGAGAACTGAATAAGGGTTACACGTATTATCATCAAGAGCTAGTGTCAATTAGAGAACCACTGGAAAAAATCCCAAGGAGTATGGGGCAGCCGTTCCGTCCTAGTCCATGACTCTTTAGCAGCACGCACCAATGTTGGCGTTTGAAACCATGTGCGTGAATTTGCAGAATGTCAAGTCCGCAGTCCACTTGACCAGGTACCATAAGGACTGAATAGGTTTACGGACTCTCTCCAGTTCAGGGTTTCGAACCTCAGTGTGTGCGTACTGCTGAAGAGGCCCAAACAACAAGGACGAAATGACAGCTGTCTAGTTCTCCCTGCTGGCTTCCAATATTTCTCTAACTGCTTCTCTCGATAATGCTAACAAAACATTTAATTGAAAGAAAAAACCATTTTCCAAGGTGTTGAGCCTCTCTCTCAAGGCTAGGCACGCATTAAACAGAGTAAATATGAAGACGATTCAACTGAAGAACACGCTGAATACAAGAAAAGTAATAACGCACACAAACACAGACAAACAAACAGACAAACAAATTATTAAAATTAAAATAAACAAAACAAGAACCTACATGAAATCCTTGTATTCTTTCAATGCATTGTAGAAGATGTTGTCGTTCACGTCTTAAATGATACAATAGGCTATTGACACCAGATTGACGTAAATGTGGTACCAGAATACAAGTACTCATTGCAGCTGATCTTTCGAGGATATTTTCATCATAAACAATATCATTAGCACTGGTTATTGCTTCACAGTCTAAATCGAAAAATTCTTGAATAAATTTGTACAGGCCACGTTCACTCAAGGTTAGACATTCATGAGCTAAATACATACAATCATTGTAGTATAGAACTGAAAAGTAAAAGAAGTACACAGAGAGAGAATTTGTGGGTGTGGGTGTGTGAGAGAGAGAGAGACAGAGAGAGGAGAGAATTCTCAGTACTTTCAATGTGGACTACACACGTTACTATCAGTGAAATTAAAAACCGGAGAACCCTCGATATAAGCTGTATCATCATGGTCTAGGGCATGACACCGGCAGCAGTCAAACTCTTGAAGCTTCAGGTTATCAGAATAGCCAGTTGACCACTTCTTGACCCGAGAATTCTACCTTCTGCTGGGCTAAGTAGTGTAGTCAACTGGAGATGGCCTTGTAACCTGAAGATCTTGGGGGTTCGCTACCTGCTGAAGTCAGGTTGTGGTGAGACCATGCTGCTAGCCAGAATTGCTAGACAGTAATTTACGTCAAGGTTTGTTCCAAATATTGGTCGTGAGAAAATATGAACAAGACTGATTCAACAACCAATCACAGCAGACTTGGCGTAGGCAGATACAGTTAACATATAGATGATCTGACATTCAAGAAACAGCCACAAAGAGATGAAAGGTCAACTTCCTATGAGAAACAACAACCAATCAGAAGACTGTGGTGTTTTTCTGCCAACAATCATCTACAATAATGTACATGAAAATCTATAAATATGTGATGATTTCCTTAATAAACGATCTGTTTCCTGGCTAGCCCTTGTCTTCTGTTGTTATATTTGGTGTCGCTGCCTACCGACAAATGGAAAGCCTATGCCCTGCAGTTGTTTATGGAGGCATGTGGATCTTCGGGCAGGACTTCGAGGCTTCTGCACAGTTGAGTGGCGTTCAAGATCTGTCAGTGATGAGGCTGTTACTTGGGACGCTGCTGGGAGGGCGGGAGAAAGCACCATATGAAAGTGTAAGGCGAAGTACTGACGAATGTGCGACAGGGTCAGGAGAACAGTTTCCAAAGTGGGAAGGACCACCGCGTATGGTCACGTTGAGATGGGGATACGCAGATACAATCGCAATGGCAAACAAAGAAAAACAGCGAGCGCCAAGATTGCAGACAGCAAGATAAACGAACAGAGCCCCTAGAACCAAGAAGGTAGAACCAACTTCAGTCGGAAGTCTTTGACGGAGTAAAGAATGTGGTGAGAGCAGGCTGCTACCCAAATTGGTAGACATTAATTTACGTTAATGTTTATGTCCCCAATGTTGGTCGTGAGAAAATATGAACAAAGACCGGTTTAACAAACAACCAAAGCAGACTTTACGTAGGCAGATACAGTTAACATATAGATGACCTGACATTCAAGAAACAGTCACAAAGAGATGAAAGGTTAACTTTCAGTGAGAAACAACAACCAATCAGAAGACTGTTTGTTTGCTTGAATAACGTATAACAATATATATGAAAATATATAAATACGTGTTGATTTCTTTAATAAACGATACATGGTCTCCAGAATCTGAACGGATCAGATAGCAGCGTATGAATCTGTTTTGATCACCTACGAACTATGAGAATTCAACTACTGAAGCTTCGCCAAGGCTCTGTGGATCAGGCATCCAGTAAAAAGCACATAGGGTGGCTCCACTGAACGCAACACCACTTGCCTCGGTCTGGGCGTCCGGGAAGTATCCTAGTCCCTGAAAGAAATATGATATTATGGGTGGTGCATGTCTTGGCGCCCATGATTTAGCATGTTTTGTTTAGCATGTTCTCATTATTATAATTATTATTATATTTTCTTTACTTCTTCACGTTCTGCGTGGAACATAGGACTTCAAGCTAGAGCTTTGAAGTTTCGGTAGCAGCGGGTTGGAGTTGCTAGTCTCAGCTGGCCCAACCTTCCCTCTTTACCAGTCCTACTATCGGCTAAGCCAGGTTTAGGAATGCGTTGGCAGGGGATCGGAACCCCAGACCACGTGAGGCATAGTCGGTAAACGTTCTACCGCTGAACCAGAAATACCACCAACAGCACACACAGAAATGCCAGTGGACACCACTCTTCCAACGAAAGAAGAAATCCTGAATGCGATCAAGCTACTGAAGTTCGGCAAAACAGCAGGACCAGGCGGAATTCCTCCCGAAGCCCTGAAGACGGCCCCAGAGATTACGGCAGATGTTCTCACTCCATTACTGCAAAAAGTTTGGAAAGAAGGAAAGGTGCCTACTAATTGGAAAAAGGGTTACCTCGTCAAACTGTCAGAGAAGGACGACTTATGTCTCTAAGAGAACAATGCTCTTGTCCACGCAAAGTAAAATACTAAGTCGCATCGTCCTGGAGAAAATAAAGAATGCACTGGATACAGAAATCCACTAATCCAGAAGAAGCTGGATTCGAGAAAGGCAAATCATACGCTGATCAAATTGCAGCTCTACGCATCATCATAAAACATTCATCGACTTCGAAAAGGCCTTCACCAGACAGCGTTGACCGAGAAGTAATTTGGAAACTAATTCAACACTACGGACTGCAGTGCTCAAGTCTTTATCAACCATATTCAACAGCTGGCTATATGACAAAGCCGCGTGTCAGGAGTTTGACAACGGAAAATTCAGCGAGGCGTTCGAAGTGCATACAGGAGTAAGGCATTGCTGCCTGCCTATTATCACCGATAATATTCTTAATTGTGGTGGACTGGATTATGCGTCAGACTGTTGGGACAAGGAGTCGAGGACACGCTGGACTACCGATAACAAGACTCTAGAAGATCAGGATTTCGTAGATGATATATGTCTAATGTTACGCAAACTCGAGGACTTGCAAGCGGAAACCAACAAACTGTCTGAGGAGGCAGAGAAAACAGGACTGTAGGTGAACACGGGTGATGATGAAGATAACCAACCAGACAACAGCAGCAACAACAACAACCAGCAAGCACCAATCACCATCAGCGGGAGAGACTTAACAGAGATTGCCTCCTTCACTTATCTGGTTAGAAAGCATCGTTTCAACTACAGGCAGTGGGAACGGATGAAGATGTCAGAGCAGGGCAGAATCAGAAAGACAAGATACGCCTTTATAAACCAACGTGAAACCAGTTTGTAAATCTTCCGCAATCAGTTGAAGGAACAAGATTCGCATCTCAACACTAGTGTCAAGTCAGTCCTTCTAAAACAGGTCAGAAACTGGGACTGTGTGTCATGAAAAGGATTTCCAACAGTCAGTTGCAGACTTTCATCAAAAGCTACCACCTTCGCTGACTTCATACTGAAGATCAAATGGCCAGCTGGCCAGAAACAAGAAGCAACAAGAAACTATAGGAACAACCCCGGTCGATAACTACTACCTTGCCGTGGTGGTCGGGCTTGAATACCGTAATGACCCAACATGCTAAACTGACTGGGACTCATGTTCCTGCACGTCCTACCATGTCAGGAAGGTTGTTTGGATAGCGAGTAGACTAAAAACAGTTACCATGGGGTACATGGATTCCAGTATCCAATTGGATCAAATGGCGTATGAACCCATATAGGTCACCGGAAACCATGGGAATGCAGCTCCTGACGCTGCTCCACTTCCTCGAGGATTAGACTCCAAGTCAAAGGCTCGGGCGGGGGTGTGGTCCCTTAATAAAACCATTTGCTTCGGTCTGGGCGCCCGGGCAGTATCTCAGCCCTCACACAATGAATTGAATAAAGTAACAAACAATCAATGAAACTTATCGCGTGCTATTACACGTGTTGCAATTTCCTTCTTTCTTCCCTTCCCGATGACAGTTAACGAATACTTTTTGAACTTGTTAAGCATGAGTGTTTTCCTTCCAGATGAAGTTCTTTATCCCTTCTCTACTTATATATATACTTTTTTCTCTTCTTTCTTTTTTTCTTTTGATCTATGTTGTTTTATTATTATTGTGTGGCGCATCCTTCTTGGTGCCATATTGTACCAAGTTTTCTTCTGCGTTTAAATAAATAAATAAATAGGAACAAGCCAACAGGCGAAAGCCGATAGCTCAACAAATATGTCGGAGAAAGCGGAGATGGATTGATCGGGCATACATTGAAGAGACTGTCGAATGACATCACATACCAGGCCAATGGCTCAAGTGGAATCAAAATGGAAAGCGACGAGTGAGTCGTCAGTGCGACGGTAACATAGAGGAGATCGTGTGAGGAAGAGTTGAGAGAGTTTGGTCAATAATAACAACACCAATAACAAATTAAGTGCATACACATATAATACCATCCTACCACTTACCAGCAAAATGTAAATCCGTCTGTGCAACATCTGCGTGTAAAGTAGGTATCAGTGAGGTGAATAGCATAAACATGCGAGGAATTAATTTAATTATAAATTCAATAAAAGCTATTGTGTTAGTTTTCTTCATATTTAAATCCGATAACTGATGATTTCCTGTCGATTGATTCACTTCATTCACTAATGCTGCAAGGTAGACATTACAATTATTGAGAATATCATTGACTTGTTTCATCATGAGGAGGACAGTTTCCGACACCTTTGATAGAAAGCGAAAACACAAAAAAAAGTACAAAACAGAGAGAGGAAAATTTCATACATTAGATTCCCCTTGATAAATTTCGATAGGGCTACACACTGAAGAAAGAAAGTGACTGCTCTAAACTATAAATGGCTTTCTATCAGAAATCAGCCAGTGGTGAGTGGTTCAAGGAAAACGGCCTCATCACCTTTAACTCCTCTAAATGCCAAACAATCAATCAATTTCACCTTCAGGGCATAAATCTGACTAACCTAAACAAACTGGTGGTTAGCACTCACACGAGGTGTGCAACATAGATAGATGGCACTGAAATAGAAATCAAGTCGGATATTAAATATCTTGGCGTCATTCTATCTGCTGATCTTTCCTGCTCGTCTCATATCTTAACGATTTCCAAGAAAATATTCCGTCTTACTTACCTTCTACATCAAGAAGTTAAGACATTCTGGTATGACCCAACCCCTACTTACTCTTACAATTCGTTAACTCTCGCATTCTGCCTATTATTCTCTATTGTTCCCCATTAGTTTTTCCGGCGCTGGCTACTGAAGAAAGACTATACCTTATTACGCAGGATGTTAAAGGTTGTCAGCAGGGTGGTAGGCAATGTGTCACTTAACCAGCTTGTTAATATTCTGGTTGGCAGGCACTTGGACTCATGTGAAAAATGGGCAAAATCCATTTTATCTATCTAACTCTCACCACCCTCTTCATTCACCTCAACTCCCCTTGTATCTCATCAGGGAAAACCGAAAGCCTACATAGAAAACTAAATGCTCGAACTAGCAAGTACTTAGCTCGTGTTCTGTGCGATAAAGAAGGCATTAGGCGTGATACCTATAACTTATTAAATAGTCAGTGCAATAACTGGATCTTGTCTTTCTAACTCATATCATTTACAGGTACAACGTTTTCTTTCTTTTCCTTTTCTCGCTCTCTCTTTTTCTCTGTTGTGTGCTCCTTTGTTTCTTTCTTCTGCTTACGCCAGTAAATATCCTACCATCTACTTTTCTAACACCTTCAAATACTCTGTTCAATTTTGGCTTTGCTACCGACATGCCAATAATGTTGTTGTCATAATGAACTGAGACTACCCTTAATCTATGTAGAATTTTATTTATTGAAAATGTGCTAACTGGATGCAATACTGTAGTAAAATGCTGAGAATTCCATTCTGTATCACAAGTACTGTTTTGGAATAAAGCAAATTATTATTATTAACAAAAAGACCAGATTTCCAGTATAAAATGATATCATCAATCGACTGCACTGATTCTCATCAGCTGCACACCCCTACCTGAAATTACAATGGTTACATATAAGTAGATGATAATAACATACTTTAATGTTTAAGTGGTAAGTAGAGAAAAAATACTTTAAAACTGACGCATCTAAAATGTAAGCAGCATTACAATTTTTCTTTAGTTTAAGTTTTCATCATCAATTTATACGCTTTCAAAGTAGAAAAGAGGGGGGAGGGGTAAGACAAAAAACAGGAACAATTAGCAAACAAATAATGCTTACTGAGACTGGTGTCTCTCAAAGCGCTGTCCTTTCTCCTTTTCTGTTTTCTTTCTTTTTGCATGACTTACCTCACTCTGATGAAATGAACTTGGTTAAGTATGCGTACGATCTAACTATTTCAACGTCTGTTAACTCCCAGCTTGACTGTACTAAGATGAACAGCTCTCTAACAGGAGTTAGCAAATAGTCTTCGTCCAACAGCCTTAAACTAAATCCTTCCAAATCTCCAACTGTCAATTTCAGTTTCCCATGTAAAATAAAGTTAAATGAAGCCGTTGGTTCCTATGACCCTTGCAAAATTGATGACATTGATATAGAAATCAAGTCTAAAGTTAAGTATCTTAGATTAATTCTTTCTTCAGACCTATCCTGGTCTTCTCAGACGTCTAAGCAATTTATGAAAGAATATTTCGTCTGACTTTTTACATTAAGGAGTTAAGGCACTCAGGCATAAATCAACCAAACCCTCCTCTTATAGTTTGTCAACTCGTGTATTTTACCTATTCTTCTTTACTGTTCATCCTTATTCTTTCCTGGATTGCTTTAAAAAAGACTATGTCATACTTCGTAGAACTCTGAAGACTGTCAGTAGGACGAGTGGTATCCCATTGAGCCATATCGTTGACATTGTCACTGATACGCACTTGATGTCATGCAACAAATTTGCTTAAGGAATTTTTTCAGACTCTGAACACCCACTCTACCCGCAGCTCCAACCTTGTGTCTCCTCCTCAGGTAAAACAAGAAGTCTTTCCAGAAGAATTTACGCACGTACGTCTGAGTATAAAAATTCCACTATACCATATTTGACGGCACGTACTTTATGTCATGAAAATAATGTTAGCATGAATTAACCTTCTTTGCACTATCAAATAAACCATTTCCTCCACTCTTATAACATCAAGCTTTATTGTTATTGTATTTTACGAGTTGATCACGGATTGATATCAGTTAGAGAACCATTGAAAACCAGGGAGTACTGGACAGCTGCTGTTTCATCCTAGTTTGTAACCGGAAGGTCCTGGGTTCGAAACCCAGTGGGTGCGTACTGCCGATGATTCCCAAACTAGGATGAAACAGCAGCTGTCCAGTACTCCCTGGTTTTCAATGGTTCTCTAACTGATATCAATCCGTGATCAACTCGTAAAACATAACTAATCCTTACAAACCAAAAACTATAGAAAGTTATTGTATTTCTTATATTTATAATCCTATCAATCTTTTGTTTTTATTTATTTATTTTTCATAATTGTGAACATCAACAGAACATGAAATTCAATAATCTATAGTAACATGCTAAAAATTTCCAAACTGAATCGCCGCTACTGTTTGAAACAAACTCACTGTTATTATTATTATTATTATTACTATTATTATATTTAATGCTCTCAATTCGTGCTTCGAATATTTTTTGACTTTATATCGTAAATGTGGACAAATTCCTCTGGTTAATTTTATTTATAGTTTAAGTATATCAGATGCAAGGTGTTGTGACAAATGCTGAGAATTCCATTCTGTATTATAAGTACTGTTTGTTTTGGAATAAAGTAAATTATTATTATTACTATGTTAGCTTGTAGGTTCACATTAACAGCTCAAAAACAAACGCGGTTACAGTTTATAAGATTGAGATTTGTTCAGTGATGAGTTGAGATTACTGAATTAGACGACTAATTAATTAATGCAATCAAAATCAAAATTCAGTTAACCCAAAGGAGTGAGAGAGATCAATCATACCCTCTTTCTGTATGCATAAGTCTGCTTGGTTTGAATCGTTTGATTGCGACCACTTCGACAAATCGTATTAAAATTGCTGTCCTTTGTTTATTTAATATTTTGAAGCAACTAGAAATCTCTACCAGATGACCAGTATCAACCGTATGTCTGATAATTGCACTCAGAGAATATTTCCTTCCTTTCAGGTACAAGTTTCTTAGAATATATCCAAAAAAACGGCTAGAAACGCTTCTTTCCGTCCTTCCAATGCTACTTGCTGCCTCAGGTGCACGTAAATTCACAAACGCAGTTGGAGGTGACATCAGTAAGGTATTTAACCAGTTTTGATTGGCTTATAGAAAGTAGTGCTCTATAATGTTATGAGTTTAGCTACCGGGAAGCTTCTTTTTATTGCACCTTTCATTATTTTATCCATCTTTTGTAACACTGCATCTCCTTTGCATTGATGATGAAAACTTAAACTAAAAAAATTGTAATGCAGCTTACGTTTTGGATCCGTCAAATTTATAGTATTTCTTCTCTACTACCCCTTAAACATTAAAGTACGTTACTTTCATCTATATATGTAACCATTGTAATTTCAGGTAGGGGTGTGCAGCTGAGTTTCAATGGAGAACTTTGTATAGAACTGCACCGGTTCAATTTGCTGCAAGTGCATGTACCACACAAACGTATACAAAACACACACACACACACAGAGAAAAAGTGACTCAAAAAGACTACGATAAACACAAATGTGAAGGGAGAAGCATACAGAAGCGGAAAAACATGACGGTTTAAGGGATGCTGGCTGACTACCTCAGGACCCCCGACCAAATCTAACAACAGGCATCACTAGCAAGAACTCTGGCATCTCGAGCCATGGATGTATGTTGTGTTTTGGGGACACGCATACAAGACCCGAGTGTGGTCATTCACTTAACCTCACCCGGCCAAAAAGGTGAATCTGCAAAATTCACTTTAAGGGTTTCAGGAGACTTAGCCAGTTTGTGATGAGTCACAGGTGTAAGGATAGCATTGAGTGTTAGGGCAGAAAAATCACTTCTTGACTGAATCCCAGTAGGCAGTCGTGTGTGGGCACTCCGTCTGAACGGGTCCGTTAAAAGAAGGAAAGACGGTGTTACCCGTCGGTTTCTTTTCATGGTCTCCACTTATACCCCAACAGACTGCGATTAGGATGAACTAAAAGATGACTTCTACCTGAAACTGTCTAATTTGCTGCAAAGATCAAAACGCACAGATATAGTTGTTTTAGCAGGCGACTTTAATGCTCAAGTAGGGAAGTTGTGCCAGACTGAGAAGTACGTAGGTGGTACGTATGGAGTTCCCCGCCGACGAACCGACAACGGTGATCGTCTTCTACAGTTTTGATCAGATAATCATCTGTTCCTAGTCAGCACTAACTTTAGGCACGAGAAGAGACATTGCCTAGCCTGGCGACCTCCATCACAAAATTAACGCTGAACTTAGATAGACCACATATAGATAGAGTATCGTTGGCGAGGGTCAGTAGAAGGCTGCCACTCCTCCTGGAACACATGTGTAGACTCCTATCACATTCTGGTCCGCGCACGTTTATGCTTACGATTAAACGCTGGCAGCGAAACAGTCACGTCCCCAACTAGATCGAGACTCTGAGTCGCTATTTAAGAAAGAAATAGAGAGACGAATACCTGAAGTCGACAGTAGGACTCCTCCTGAGGTAGCCTAGCACAACATACAGTTCGCTGTAGACACAGTTGTAAAAGCTGTTAATAACCTGAAACCTAAAGTTAGTATGAGCTAATGGATTTTTGCCACCTTATCATAATCAAAATGTGGAATTGTCAGCATGCAGTGGATTATTGCAACTAACACTTTCTCATCACAAGAGTATTAATTAGAAACCAGGAGCATTTACATTGATAATTATTGTTTAATAAGAATATAAGTATAAAATTGAATTAAGTGAAACTATTAACAACACTATATAACATTTTTCTATAGTTGGTTGGTTCTAAGAATTAGTTTTGTTTTTACGAGTTGATCACGGATTGATATCAGTTACACACCAACTATAGAAAATTAATCTGATGCTCGCTAGTGACTTGCTACAGGACAGAGTTTCCTGGAGTTCTCGGTGAGAAGTCGTGACCAGTAAGGTTCATCCAGTCAAATGTGAGGATGAATGACCCATCGATGACATTGGTTGGTGCCAGTCACGATATATCACGAATTGGTAGAAGTCAGAATTCATGGAATGGTCACTGAACCGGGTCCCAGCAGTGGCTGACCTTGTAACCGGAAGGTCCTGGGTTTGAACCCCAGTGGGTGCGAACTGCCGATGACTGCCAAACCAGGATGAAACAGCTGTCCAGTACTCCCTGTGGCTGGTTTTCAATGATTCTCTAACTGATATCAATTCGTGATCAACTCGTGGAAACAAAACTATATAACAATAAGAAAAATAAAGCCGATTACTTAGAGTTCCGCAGTGAGTTGGTAATATCCTGTCCTGCCTAACACTGTTCTCATCATATAACATATGTGCCAAATAATGTGTTGCAGAGTTTTTTTTACTTAGTCGTCCAAGCATACGTGGACGGTGGCACAGTGGTTAGGACTCTCGCCGACCATGCACATGGTCCGGGGTTCGAGCCCACGCCGGCGCACACTCGATATCTATGGTCGGCCTGCAAAATTTGGGCTACCGATATCCATGCTGAAAATTCTATACTTGTACCAGAATGCAGTGTGGAATCAAGCTGTAAATCAAAAAATAAAAAAAAATACAGTCTTCTATAGTTACTCTTAGTTCTACATACCTAATGAGATGCGACGAGAAGGTTGTGCAATGGAGAGGATGCTTAAGGTTTGACAAGATGATATTTGTAAACTTCTTACAGGAATCCAAGTGTCTATCTACAACAGGATTAATGAGTTGGTTTAACGACACCTCACTCGCCTTACTGAAAACTTTTAGTGCCCTTCGCGGTATAACAAAAACCCGGGAAAGATTAGGGGAGAGCAGTAAAGAAGGATAGGTAGAATACAGGAATTATCAAACTTAGAAAAGAAAGAGACTGAGTGATACGTAGTAAGTCAACCGAAACATCTTTCTACAAATTAACATGATGTGAGAAGACCATGAAAGATGATCAGACGAAATACACAGTTCAAGGCATATTTAACATTCGACTCAGTTTCAACCCCATGTGTCATCTATGATAATAGTAGAACCATACGAACTAACCAGTTCATTTAATTCCTGCTTGCATCTGAAAGTGAAATTAACAACCTGACATTTGGAGGGATTTAACTTAAGATCATTTGACCTCAAGGATCACTGACTAATTTCTGATAAAAAGTTATTCATTTTAAAGCAGTTTGACTTTGAAAAGTAACTCGCCGGCGTAGAAACGATAGTCAGATCATCAGCATACTTTACAAAATTCACTTCATCACAATAGGGCGAATAAGTCATGTAAGAAGAAAGAACAACAATTCCTTGAGGAGGAACATTAACTCTGCAGTAGGCAAAGCAAGCAGTCGAGGAGGACTTCGCATTGCAAACACACTATACTGCTCCGGTTGTCTATCAACAACAATTACAACAAAAATTATCGAATGCAACCCACTTATTAGTTGTCAAACACTGTGCTTATATCGTAAGCAACCTTGTTTAACAAAAAGGTGTGGCCTCGGCACAGGTTCAAAGGCGTCAAATTGTGGTGAAAGCTAGCTGCTAGCCAAAATTGCTAGACAGTAATTTACGTCAAGGTTTATGTCCCAAATATTGGTCATGTAAAAACAAGAACAAGATCAAAGGCTGACTCAACAACCAATCACAGCACACTTTGTTTGCATAAGCGGATACAATTAGCGGATAGCAGATGACCTGACATTCAAGAAACAGCCACAAAGAGATGAAAGATTAACTTTAAGCGAGAAACAACAACCAATCAGAAGACTTTGCTTTTCTGCTAACAATAATCTATAATAATTTTAATTGAATTTGAGATTTTCCCGTCGATTGATTGGACCGAAGTGGTCGGTCCCAGGTTGACATGTCGGCTTCTCGTGCAGATGCTTCGACGATGTCTAGGCATTTAATTAGAATTTAATTTGTGGATGGTAACTAGCAGTGGAATCCAGGATGCGCATTTCGTCTTATTTGCGACTTGTCAGCCAGTGGATGTACCTGAATTTCCCAGTGAGTGGTGACGTTCCCACCGAGGCTCCAAATTCAATTAAATTAATATGACCCGTTGCACAAGAAGTGGCTCCCATGACCCAAGTGGTCTAGTGGATAACGCTTCGGCGTTTGAAACTAAGGGCACTGGGTTCGAGCCTCGGTGGGAACATCATCACTCACTCGGAAATGCAGGTACATCCAGATGACGAGTCCCAAATAGGACGAAATGTGCTTTGTCCTGGATTCCACTGTAAGTCACCATCCACAAATTAAAATCTATAGTAATGTACATGAAAATCTATAAATATGTGTTGATTTCTTCCTTAATAAACGATCTGTTACCTGGTCGACCCTTGGTCGTCTGTTGTTACAAAATGTGTAATCAATTAATATTGAAAATAAAACACTTACCATACAATCAGGAAAATCAAATTGTCCAAGATCAAAATGTTTTGAGATATCACGTAGATTACATTTGGATTTCAATAGTCTAGAGACAATATGCTCATATTTACTCGCCTTATTCGAATCCACTTTTGATGATAGCGATTTCAGTGGACCATTATTATTATTATTATCGTCATCATTATCATTGCCATTATTATCACCAACATCGTCACTATCATCACTGAGAATGAATTCTTCCTCTTCAAAGATACCTTCATCATCATTATCATCATCGTCGTTGTCACCAGTATCTGAAGGATTCGCCTCCTCTTCCTCTTTCTCCTCGCTCTTCATAGTCTTCTCACATTTTACACTTTCATTCGCTGAACACATTGAATAAAAGAGTTTACGATCTGCTAACAAATGACGCAGCTGTTCCAGTATACAACTTGCTTTACGTTTATGCTTCAACAAGGAGAGATTATTAACCCAAACACTTAATTTTGTTTCTCCACTACTGCTAGAACTTGACACAAATTGTTCACTATTCAATGAAAACCTCTCTGTTGACAGAAATCCTGTACTTATTCCAACATGAATCAATTGTCTAACAGAAGCGGTAATTGATGCTGACAATGATTTAGCATCATCACCATCATCATCATCATCATCATCATCATCATCATCATCATCATCATCATCTGCTGTAAAGAATACATCAGCATTAAAACGTCCATTAATTAATTCATTGACTAATTCATGACTAAATAAACTTGATTGACTATTTTCGACATTATTATTATTATTATCCATGGTGTTATTGATGAGTAAGTCAATGACACGTTTACCTGTATCCTCTTCATTCCTATTCCCAGCCGCATCTTCATCCCCATTACCAACATCAGCGTTGACATCGACGACTCCACCGGTATTTTTATTATCTTTAACAATTTTATTATTATTCCTATTGGATGACGGAATAAATTTCAAACCAAAGAAATACTTATATAAATCGTTGAATGCAAGTGATAATTGTTTACATGACCTGTTGATCAAATGCTTAGCAGCGGCTTCTTCACTTCCTCCTTCTTCTCCGCCAGCTGCTGCTCCTTGTGCTTCACTGACTCTATGTGTTTTTTCTACAGTATCAGTACTCTTATGACTAGAATGACTATGATGATGACTGTCATTTTTGACTCCTTCGGTACTACATTCACTACTTATACTAGTATTAGTAGTAGTAGTAGTAGTAGTAGCAGCAGCAGTACTGCTACTAATATTTGGTGCTATTAACAGTAGATTGAAGTAACGTAAACCTCCACCATGGTTATTATCATCATCATTCTTATTAGACGCCGCCGTAGTAGTAGTAGTAGTAGCAGTAGTAGTAGTAGTAGTAGTAGTAGTAGTAGTAGCAGCAGTAGTAGTAGTAGCAGTAGTAGTAGTAGTAGTAGCAGCAGTAGTAGCAGAAGTAGTAGTAGAAGAAGAAGAAGCCGTTTTCTTACGATTATTACTACTACTCGAAGTAGCATTCACTGATATGTCGACACCTAATTTATCATGCAGAGATTCACCGATCAATTGACACTAAACATTAAGAACAAGAAAGAAAGAAAACGAACGTGGAGAGGTAATAATTACTGCGAGTATATATAATATGTCACTTAATAGTGTGAAATCATATGATATATATATATATATATATATATATAAAACTTGGGCACTACCGGGGTTCGAACCCTGTACTTACACTATTTTACATCGGCTATCTCCTACGGGAGGATGAGCCGGCTTCATGAAAATGAGTTCATGAAGTTTCATGGGAATTAGGTACGAGTGATGTCCCCAGAATCGCTCGGCCTTTTGTTTGAGAGTGCAGCTCTAGCCTTTACACAACTAAGTGTGACCTACAAGGCAGTAGGAGTGGACTAGGGAGTCCACTATCCACTGGCAGCCGGTGACCGGAGTCCGGTTCATACGCCTTTTTGAATGGGGCCAGACATCCAGGGCATCCAATAAGCCTTTTGTCCATACGTCTCTGCCGGTGAGCTTCAGTGAGCTTCATACGCCAGTCGTTGGAGATTTGGAATCAGGGTTTAGCCATCTCCCCTAGACTGTCATCCAATGGACAGTCAACCCGGTGAAGAGCGCCGGGCATCCGCTTTTGCCCTCTCACTTCGGTGAAAACACCTCCGCCACGCGAAGGCAGTGAGTAGCACTTCCTCAGGAGAGGCTATGTAAGACGCCCGGTCATAAGGGAGTATTTCAAGAGGTGTACGGAGGGGTGGCCAACCCGCAGAGCAAAGCACCCACCCCCGACCATCCTGAGGTGTGTGCGTACTGCTGAAGAGTCCCAAACTAGGCTGACGAAACAGTCAGCTGTCCAGTACTCCCTGTGGCTGGTTTTCCAAATGATTTTCTAACCAATGTCAGCTTATGATGACCAATCCTGTAACTAATTCCATATTAGTTTGCTTATTTAGATGGATAGATCACACAGTCAGTGAAACAGTATTATTACATACTGAATGACAAGGTTTTGAACACAATCTAGTATTGTTCATAATCATGTCATCAATTAAAATCACACGACTTCGAAATTTGAGTTTTATAGTTTTCTTTGTCCTCTCCTATTCGTCGTCGCAGGGGTAGTAGAATTTTCCAGGTGTTGAATCATTCCTATTACACGTGTTCCCTGTCAGTTGATTCGATAAACAAAGCTTCTGTTGTCAATCTCTCCCTCCACCCTGCTGTTTCATTGGATTTTAGAACTGTCATCTTATCCCATCCTATTTTATGGTTGTGTGTAATTGCATGTGATGAGGGCTATAGCTGGACTAATCTCCGAATTTCTTATCTTATTCAGATCAACTAATCCAACTGATCCCGTTCTACTACTTTGACCTATGCGTTATTTGACCTGGAAAACTAAATTGTTTTGTTTTATCGGCTCCACAAGCAGGATCCTTTAACCGACAAAGCTTATTTCTAATTGAGTTCGTGAACAGTTTGAATGCCAACCACTTTGATTCCTGCCTGCCTTGTTAAGAATTCTGCGTAAGGCTTCCAAGGTTCCTTTGTTGCATAGAATTACTATTGATGAACCAAACTAATAGTCAGTTTTGATATTGTACGTTTATATACACGTATACCAATAAATATGGCTATAGAGGCAGTCAGAAACGAACTCATTTCTAACGAAGAACTTGAACTTAGGACAAAAGTACCACTTGAGCACATAATGCTGGGAGTGCAGCTATGCCTGACTTCCATAGTATTTAAATTCCAAGGGAAAATATACAAACAAACTGAAGGATTCTTCATGGGGTCACCAATAGTCCCGGTTGCGGCAGATATATTCATGGATAGGTGGGAAAACATAGCGATTGAAACATTCAGTCCCAGCTCAAAAGTATGGTGCAGGTATGTAGATGACACGCGTCGGTGGCATAGCGGTTAGGGCGTTCGCCAACCATGCACATGGCCCGGGGTTCGATCCCCGGCCGACGCACTCCTTTACCTCGCTGAGCCAGAAATAATGCTGTTAAAGAGGAAAGGTTGGGCATGAGGCTAGCAACCCCATCCTGTAAAATTAAACACTGCTACAGAAACTTCAAGCCACTAGCTTCAGGCCCAATGTTCCACCGGGGAACGTGAAGGAAAAAAAATGTAGATGACACATTCACTGTGCTTAGAACACAGGGTGTAGATAGATTTTTCAAACATATTAACTTAAAGGTGGAGACAATTCAATTCACTTATGAATTGGAAAGTTAGGAAGGGGAGCTTCCAATGTTAGATTGCAACGTAAAAAGGAAAGACGATGGGAAGTTAAACACTAGTGTATGTTTACAGGAAACCCACACATTCAAACAGATATTTGGACTTCCAATCATCCCATCCTATGTCAGTGGAAATAGGATTGGTGAAATGTTTAAATAATAGAGCACAAAAACTAAGTAGTACCAAGGAAAATCTAAGACAGAAAGTGAGGCATATAAGAGAAGCTTTGAGACTCAATAATCACCCTAATAAATTAGCCAGAAAGTATGTAGGAAAATATAAAAATAAAATAAATAATGATAATAGCGATAGTGATAATAATAATAATGATAATAATAATAATAATGACGACATGCATGTCAAGTATACGCAAGACAACACCAACAATAAGGAATTTAAATCATCCGTCACCAGCACATTGCCATTTAACTCTGTCCACTAAAGTCCTAGTTAACTGGCTCCACAACTGTCCATAAGCTCTCATCATCTCTTTCATTTCAACCTCGGACGACGACAACGACGCCGCAGCCGCCGCTGCCTGGTGCACGATTTTACTCAATAGTCCTTTCAGTGTGTCTCCGATTCATTTCCAGTTCCTACTGCATATTTATTCAGTGATAAACTCTCGGTTGTTTCGTTCCTAGAGTTATTTGTCGCTTACTCTTTCTCTCTGATCATTTGCGCCTCAGTACAGAGGAAGAAGGCAGCTGTTAGAAGTGCTTTGCGTGACGCGCCAAGTTTCTAACCCATCTGAGAAGAAGAACTGACTAACTGAACATTGGTGGTGAAAATTATTGCTTCGAATCATTTTTACTAGCGCGCGTTGAGTTTCAGTGAGAGTTCGTTGCTTTAATTCATTCATTGTGTGCGGGCTGAGATACTGCCCGGACGCCCAGACCGAAGCAGGTGGTTTTATTAAGGGACCACACCCCCCACCGCCCGAGCCTTTGACTTGGAGTCTAATCCGTAAGGCAGCGGAGCAGCGTCAGGAGCTGCATTCCCATGGTTTCCGGTGACCCATATGGGTTCATACGCCATTCGATCCGATTGGAAACTGGAACCCATGTACCCCATGGTAACTGCTTTTAGTTTAACTGCCATCCAGAAAACCTCCCTGACATGGTAGGACCTTTAGAGACAGAGTCCCAGTCAGGTGGTGAAAATAAGCCTTCCGTTTTTTTATGCTGAGTGGAGATTTCCAAATTGATTTTAGATTGAAGAAGGTCTATGTTACCTTTTTGTTCCTGGTTTTCACATCCTCATATATGCCGCCTATTTGTAGTTGACAGGCTAGCTGGGTAAGCGAATTAGGTGACCCCGTTCAAATTTCTCCCGCTGATAGTAATGTCGATCTGTCTTGAAGTCCTTCCACTCTTCGCTACCAGGTCTTCTACAAACTTGTTGGTTTTCATATTAGTTTGTTTATTAGATGTATCACACAGTGAAATAGTATTATTTACTGGATGACAAAGTTTGTCATTGGGGTAGTAGAATTTTCCAGGCAGGCATAAAAGTGGTTGGCATTCAAACTGATCACGAACTCAATTAGAAATAAGCTTTGTCGGTTAAAGGATCCTGCTTGTGGAGCTGATAAAACAAAACAATTTAGTTTTTCTAATACCCTGCCTACAATGATTATCAGGTCAAATAACGCATAGGTCAAGATAGTAGAACAGGATCAGTTGGATTAGTTGATCTGAATAAAATAAGAAATTCGGAGAATAGTCCAGCTATAGCGCTCACCACATGCAATTACACACAACCATAAAATATGATGGGATAAGATGACAGTTCTAAAATCCAATGAAACAGTAGGGTGGAGGGAGAGATTGATAACAGTAGCTTTGTTTATCGAATCAACTGACAGGGAACACGTGTAATAGGAATGATTCAACACCTGGAAAATTCTACTACCCCTGCGACGACGAATAGGAGAGGACAAAGAAAACTATAAAACTCAAATTTCGAAGTCGTGTGATTTTAATTGATGACATGATTATGAACAATACTAGATTGTGTTCAAAACCTTGTCATTCAGTATGTAATAATACTGTTTCACTGACTGTGTGATCTATCCATCTAAATAAGCTAACTAATATGGAATTACTTACTACCACAGTAGTGTCCAAGTTTTACACGTATATTAATTGTTGGTTTTCAACGGTTAGAGTCTTCGAGTTTATGTCACATTAGACCACAAATCGTCAGCGAATTCCAGATCTTCAAGAATTTTCCTACCAATTCATCTCATATTCCTGTCTTCTTGCTTCCCACAGTCTGTTGTATGATCCAGTCCACTAAAGTTAGGAATATCCATCAAAGGTGATAGTAGGTGGGCAGCCTTATTCTACTTCTGTCTTCACTTAAAACGATTCACTGAACTTTCCATTGTGTCGAGCATCAGAAGAAGGGTATCATTTCCATCACGGTTTTGGATACGCCAATCAACGTCAAGAACTTATCGCCGATTACCTCTTACCACTTTACATAAATTCCACCCACCGTATACTACTACTACTGGTTGATTGATTTGAGCAGTGAGTTAGCCAGTCAATCCGAATAGAAGTGATCTAAACACCGTAACCCCCCCCCCCACTACCCCCACCATTTCGCCTATTTATAGCCTAACTTATCAGCGGTACACACAATTCGACTCAGTGTTCACACAACCACCGAATCCCTGGTATACAACACAACTACTCATCTTTATTGATCAGTAGAATATGGTGGCGTTCATTTATGCTTGACTGCTTGCTTGCTTACTTGCTTACTTGATAAATGATAATAAAAGCAAATTACACATGAGCCCAGTGAGTCGTCTGAGTAATTTCTAAGAGTAAACAGAAACAAACTAACCTTTAACTCTGGCCAACCCATTTCTGAACCGGATACACACGGGACCTTTTTAAGCCAAGGTTTAAAGATATACGTCCATATTTGATTGAATAATTCATAAATACGAGTCTGTATGTAATTATAGAGAGAAAGAAAAATGAATGTTAGGGGAAGCAATAAATAGTTTAAGCTACACATTCTCTTGCTATTTAGTAATGCCTTCTTCAAATTAGGTATCCCTTCCTTGAAACATACTGAAATCGTGGTGAGAACTGGCTGCGACGGGTAGTCACATTGTCGGGACATACGAATTTAGTTAAGGTTAGAATGATTGATCCCATGAAGATAAGTAATTTAGAAAAACAAACTCAGCGATTGCACTGCATGTATTAACATACTGTTATGTACTCGTCGACAAATTATTGTTATGGACTGGTCGAGAATTTATTAGTCCTGACGCAAGAAGGCGGAAATCAGAAGACCACTAGGTTTGCGATGATACTTCTATTTTCCAAACACAAGGTGAATGCAAAAGTGGTATCACACCAAAAGTAAGTGTAAGTCACACAAATTGTGAGAACGAAATATATATATATATATATATATATATATATATATATATATATCACAACTGAACGTAGTGACTTAGGAATCGACTTGTTACCAGGGAATAATCTAATGGACTTAGAATATGCAGATGACATAGTCCTGTTAGGGGAGGATGCTGACAAAATGCAGAGTCTTCTGAACACCTTGAGCAGCAACCTTCGTATGTTTGGCATGCGATTCGCCCCTGCAAAATGTAAGATGCTGCTACAGGACTGGACGACGTCAACCCCTAACTTAGTGATAGGGAGTGAAGTGATAGAACATGTTGACCACTTCACCTACTTGGGAAGTTGTATTAGCACCAACGGACTGATTGGCGATGAAATCTCAGCACGGATCCGGAAAGCTCGAGCTGCTTTCGCTGACTTACACCATCTCTGGCGTAGGCGTGACATCCGGCTATCAACCAAGGGACGTGTGTACTGCTCATCAGTTCGCTCCGTCCTTCTCTATGGCTCTGAAACATGGCCAATACGCGTTGAAGACATGAAAAGGTTAACTGCTTTCGATCATGGATGTCTGCGATCCCTGTCTCACGTTAGGTGGTTTCACAAGATAAGTAATGTTGACGTTAGGCGTAGAGTGTTGGGCAAAGAGGGAAAATCAATCGACGAGGTTATAAAGTCACATAGACTAAGATGGCTAGGTCACGTGCTGCGTATGCCTAACCACCGCCCCCCCCGACGGGCATTGCTAGCTGACATAGGTTCAGGTTGGAAAAGAGCCAGTGGTGGCCAAACAAAAACATGGCATCAATCCATGAAATCCTTGACAGTTAAACTGAGTCAGGTAGGGAGATGCAGACTCCCGGGTTGGGGCCCTCGGGACTCTAGGAATCAATGGCTGGAGACAATAGGTGACATAGCTCAAAATCGTTGTCAATGGCGCAGATGTATTCAGTCTCTGTAATCTTTCATATTCCTTCCTACCATTACCCATTCTGTTTCACTCTTATACTTGTCAAACTCTATTGATTCTCTCCACTCATCTTCTTGTTTACCTCTGTGTGCTATTTGGAACGTGGCAACTCGAACTGGTGCACTTCGGTGCCAAGTTCTATGTTGAATCCAGACAGACAGACAGACAGATATCAAAATATAGCAGACATGTCAACAACCACCATATATGGATATATGTCACTAAGCAACGGACTGTCAACAAACACTCATATTATATATAATATAAGGGGAATATACATTGTTAAAGCAGACAGGTTCATACAAGTGAAATGGTCACAGACTAAGTGAGCAAACAGAAAGAGAGACCAACATACACACACACATAAATATATATATATATATATATATATATATATATATATATATATATATGGATACATATCACATACAACCACACAATAGGTTGGGAGGGAGAGGGTTAAAATTCTAAAAAGTAATATAGGCAGGTGGTGAAAAAGAGAGGTTGATTAATGAATCCTGGTTCATCGAGTCTACCTACACCCAACACATGCAATAGAAATGACTCAATGCAAACACCAGAGATGTGTATGGAAGATATTATTACCATCAGTCAAATTACAGGAGGATAATACATAATCTTAAAAATTCTATTTCAATTCATGTGCATTTTAACATTTTAACAAGTTACTTATTTATTTTACTATAAAAACATCTTATTCCCATCCTATCGACTAACAACACCCGGCCGACGCACTCCTTTGTTACCTGGCCGACAACTGCTACCTTGCCGTGGTGGTCGGGCTTGAATACCGCGGTGACCTAACAAGCTTAACTGGCTGGGACTCATGTTCCTGTAGGTCATACCATGTCAGGAAGGTTGTTTGGACAGCGGTTAGACTAACAGCAGTTACTATGGTGTACATGGGCTCCAGAATCCAATTGGATCGAATGGTATATGAACCCATATGGGTCACCGGAAACCATGGGAATGCAGCTCCTGACGCTGCTCCGCTGCCTTACGGATTAGACTCCAAGTCAAAGGCTCGGGTGGGGGTGTGGTCCCTTAATAAAACCACCTGCTTCGGTCTGGGCGTCCGGGTAGTATCTCAGCCCGCACACAATGAATGAATGAAGCAACGAACTCTCACTGAAACTCAACGCGCGCTAGTAAAAATGATTTCAAGCAATATTGATCCCTCAAACAACTTATGTCCTTCCAACCTTAATTTTATTTTTATACATAGACTCCTGTTATTTACCTTTGCTAACCTTGACTTCTTCACCTTCGACAGCCTTTCGCCTTTGTCTGGATTCCCAGCCTATCTGTGTCGTTTCAAGATGTTAGTGAGTAACCCTCAAAATGGTTGTCCTCAATGGGACATCTAACACAGATATCCTGAAACCGCGTGCCGCATTCAAGCTGGCCATCTACAGTGTTCGGACGCTGATGCAAATCGGACAACAGGCAGGGTTGGTAATATTTAGGTGTGGCGCATCTTTCTTGGTGACATATTGTACCAAGTTTTTTCTACGTTTAAATAAATAACAACACTCGTCTTATTTCTCATCTGATTGTATTTTGATTGATAACACTAATATTATTATTTCTCAACGTACTTTCTCATTTTATATTGATTTTATTCAATCAAATGTCTAATCATCAATTTTTACTCATGTATATAAATGAAGCAAGGAGGTTGTGTGTGTAATGCTTTGATATGATGATTATGAGAAGTAATAAATTGTGCTCGAAACGTGGTTATTATCAATAAAGATTACTCACTGTATAACACCACTGTGTGTGACTTTATCAAAATAAAGTTTTTATCCATAGTGGAGTACTTGAAGTTCTCAGATCTTTCAACTGAAATGAATCGTGAATGTTATTTCTATCTATTCTTGACGTTGGATTCTCTTTTTTCGCTTTCTCTAATAAGACATCACCAGCACAAATCACTACTACTACTACTGTGGTGACAGCTGGTTGCGAAAAAGCAAAAAATTGTAGACAACAATTTACGTCAAGATTAGATGGTTGGAGGCGATCGGCCACAGGAAGCCTTGGACCTAGGTTTTGTGCTAGTCGGGGCACTCATCAGCAAGGCGTATCTGCAATGAAGGAATTCATATCCTCTCTGAAATTCAAACCTGCGTCACCCAGTGCTGCAGTCAGAGACGTTACCACTGATAGAATTCAGTCTTCAGTGAAGATAGGACTAAACACATTACACTAGTTACTGACTAGTATGCAATTTACGTCAATGTTCGCGCCCCGAATCAGGGTTATGAGAAAATAAAGACAATAACAAAGATTAACACCTAGAGGAACTCAACAACCAATCACACAGTAGACTTAACGTGTGCAAATACGATTCGCAGATATGTATACATGGCTTAACTTTCTGAGAAACGGTCAGTCACAGGCAGGACAGAATAATCTTCAGCAGGGCAACAACTAATCAGAAGAGATTGCTTCTCCGCTGACAATAATGTACATAAAAATCTTCAAATATCTCTTGATTTTCTCACTAAACAATCTGTTGCCTGGCCCTTGTCTTCTGTCGTTACAAAATATCCACACACACACACACACACACACACACCCAGGTACCCTACACCCTTACATTGGCGTAAACCTGGCTCTTTCCCCTCCTAGGAACCTTATTAAGACAAGATGTATATACACATCGAAATGTTGAGTTCTACAAGTTATTAGATAGCTTGTCACAAAACACTTAGTTCTTCTATTTTTCCACCCACTCTTTAACTTGGCTAAATCTCCCACTTGGACCAAGCTTCTGACTATGGCAAACTTTTCAAAGTTCCCTAACCTCGAGTAGGAATGTCCCTCCTAACTCTTCCTTATAACGTTCAAGTGCATTTTGGATGGTCTTTCTCCTGTTATTAGTGCCTATGACAACTTCTGTCTGAACACTGTCGTTCCGCTTTTCACCTCCGATGGACATACATGCACACGTGAAACCAACTTCCAACCCAACACATCAATGACACTATGATTACTCGAGATTTTCAGCACCATCGCCAGCCAACATCACTGGAGAATACTTGCCCACAAAACAAGATCAGGTGGACTCTAGAAGTTACAACTGCCAGCTAAAGCTTCAGACAACTTCGTCCTGTAGTCAGTCAGTCAGTTAATCAGCCACTAGTAAACATCAAGTGTTAGTTTGTGGGGATTTGACTGCTGCCAGGTTCGACCACTGATTGACATCAGTTAGAGAACCACTGAAAACTAGAACTGGAGTACTCGACATCTGTTTCGTCTCATTCTAGGACTCTTCGTCAAAGCGTATCCCTGGTTCTATAGCTACGAAGGTTGAATCCAGAACTATCAGGTTACAAAACGAGTTCGTTAATCATTCACAGTCACTGGCACGGAATTCGACGGTTCATCAGTTCCTTACTTCTGTTAATTCTGAATTTTAGCATCACTGATAGTCACACCAAATCTACTGGACTCTAATTTTTTCTTGCTTCACGTCCCAAGTGGAACATAGGGCTTCAAGCTAAGAGGCTTGAAGTTTCTGTAGCGGTGTTTATTTTTACAGGATGGGATTGCTAGCCTCATGCATAACCTTCAATCTTTACCAGCTTTATTACTGGCCTAACGAGGTAAAGGAGTGCGTCGGTGGCCAGGGATCGAACCTCGGACTACGTGCATGGTCGGTGAGCGTCCCAACCGCTAGGCCACTGACGCACTGCTGGACTCTAATAGTCATGAATTCCTATAGTGTCCTCTACTAACTGATATCGATCCGTGATAAGACTTGAAGGCAATCAAAATGTCTGTAAATTATCGTCTAGTCGGCCATTGGTTTGCAAAAGCCTTGAGGACAAGATCTCGTATCTAACCATTTCTATGTGTATACAATAGTTCACACCTGTTGCTGTGGAATCAGGTGCATTGGTCGTTCAAAGAGTATCCTATCTAAAAGGGTTCAAGAACACTACCTCACCACATGTTTGCCAAAAGGTAGTAGTGGCTCTATAAAGAATGCGATAATCGAACAACTTGTATCAACAATAGGTTAGACAAGGCTTTAACCTCAAAGACAATTTGAACAGACGGATATGATCTTATTGGATCTGGTTAACTGCTGAGAATTTGAAATAATGCCGAAAGACATTCACATACGTTTAATTAAGTGACCTGTATAACAAGACATGCGATTCACTCCGTTGGTCAAACGTGAAATGATGAAGCTACAGGACTGGACTACATCGACTCACTCCTACCTTAAAGATAAGCAAGAGTAAAGTGGTTCCTGAGGGTGTTGAGCACATACTTCACTTGTTTGGGAAGTGACATCAGTCAACCCCAATGGATTGATCATTGATGAACTCCTGCCACAGATACAGAAGGCTTGTTCGGCGTTTTTCCAACTTAAGCCGTCTTTTGCGTAGGCGTGATATCCGACTAGTTATCTATCAATCTATGTGTCTACTGCTCAGCACTTCGCTACACCCTCCTCCTTTATGGCTGTGAATGAGACACAATGGCCGTTCAAAGTGGAAGACATGGAAAGCCTGATAGCTAGCTGTCTTTGATCATAGATGTCTGAGTCCCATCTCCCGTGTTAAGTGGTGACATAGTATAATAGGGTGAGTAATATTGAGTTGGTCAAGCGTCGAGTTGTAGAGAAGCAGGGGAAGTCAATCGACGAGGTTGTGAAGCTACATCGATTGAAATGGATAGAACATCTGTATCTCATGCATTCCTTCCTCGACGACAGGCAATTTTAACTGACACAGGATGAATCAGGTTGTTGGAAAAGACCTAGTGGTTGGTGGTTAAACCAAAACTTGGCAGCATCAGTCAATGAAACCAATAACACATAGTTTAAGCTAACCAACTAAGCAGCCAGCCAGCCACGTAGGAAGGTATAGACTTTGTAACTGGTTGGTTGGGATCCTAGGGATGGTAAGAACCAATGAAGTTGAAGTAAAGTGATGAATGGTGAGTAGTAACGGAATGCGCATTTCGTCCTATTTGGGACTCGTCAGTCAGTGGATGTTACCCCCATTCTTCAGTGGGTAGTGTTCCCACCGAAAATCGAACCCAATACTCATAGTTTCAAACGCCAAAGTGTTGTCCACGAGAGCAACTTCTTGTGCAGCAAGTATCCAGTAGTTAATTACTTCCATTTGGACTTTCTACTTGATTGATTGATTGATTGATTGACTGGACTGAAGTGCTTAGCCTCAGACTGACATGTATGATAACATGACATATACCTGTCTTCTCACACCCCACAGTTTGCTGCTAAACGATCCAGTCGACTATAATACCAGGAATATGATCAGTGATAGTAGGCAGCCTTGTCTTATTCTTGTCTTCACTTTAAAGACTCCGCTGAGTTTTAAGTTGTAATTCACTTAGTATATTCCTATTGAATGAGATTTACTTAAGGTATGGAGTACTCCTCCAAAGCCTCAGGATGGTCGGGGGTGGGTGTCTTGCGCTGCGGGTTGGCCACCCCTCCGTACACCTCTTGAAATGCTCCCATATGACCGGGCGTCTTACATAGCCTCTCCTGAGGAAGTCCTACTCACTGCCTTCACGTGGCGGAGGTGTTTTCACCGAAGTGAGAGGGCAAAAGCGGATGCCCGGCGCTCTTCACCGGGTTGACTGTCCATTGGATGACAGTCTAGGGGAGATGGCTAAACCCTGATTCCAAACCTCCAACGACTGGCGTATGAAGCTCACCGGCAGACGTATGGACAAAGGGCTTATTGGATGCCCTGGATGACTGGCCCCATTCAAAAAGGCGAATGAACCGGACTCCGGTCACCGGCTGACAATGGATAGTGGACTCTCTACTCCACTCCTACTGCCTTGTAGGTCACACTTGGTTGTGTAAAGGCTAGAGCTGCACTCTCAAACAAAAGGCCGAGCGATGGTGGGGACATCACTCGTATCCGATTCCCATGAAACTTCATGGTTCATGAAGCCGGCTCATCCTCCCGTAGGAGATAGCCGAAGTAAAGTAAGTATAGTATTGATGTAGGCTCTAAATTACTTTAACGTCAACGCTATTAAAGGCCTTTTCAAAGTTGATGAAGTTTGAGGCCCTGTTCGATGATGGTGCGTAGCGTTACAATTTGTTGAATACATAAACTTTCTTTTCTGAATCCAACTTATTTCGAAAGAACGGAGTTTTCCATCTACCGCACCTTTTACTCTCTCTCTTTCCCTCCCTTTCCTGGATGATGCCAATTGACATGGACAGGACCATGATTGCGTGCCAGTTTTTTGCAAAGGTTCAAGTTTTAATCTCTCTTCCAATCACAAGAGGTGATCTTCCTTCCTTCTTTCCTTCCAGACTTTTCGCAATACTGTCGTGAACATATCCGCTGAGGTTAAGCATATACCCCTAAATAACAGTCAAACAGAATTTAATTAGTGGATAATGACTAGTGGTGGAATCAAGGATGTGAATTTCTTCCTATTCGGGACTCGTCAGTCAGTGGATGTACCTGCATTCCCCAGTGAGTGATGATGTTCCCACCGAAAGTCGAACATAGTACGTATAGTTTCAAACTCCAGAGCGTTATCCGCTACTATCCCACTTGGGCCACGAGAGCCACCTTTTGTGCAACGGGTCATATTAATTATTTAATTAAATTTTTTAGATTTCCCCATCGATTGATTGGACCGAAGTGCTCGATCTCAGGTTGAAATGTCAGCGTCTCCTTGTGTGGATGCTTTGACGATGTCTGAGCATGTAATTAGAATTTAATTGGTGAATGATGATGATGACTAGCAGTGGAATCCAGGATGCGCGTTTCGTCCTATTTGGGACCCGTCATCTGGATGTATGACCCGTTGAACAAGAGGTGGCCAGCGCTCATAGCCTAAGTGGTCTAGTAGATAACGCTTTGGCGTTTGAAACTATATGGGTACTGCATTCGATCTTCGGTGGGAACACTGTCCACTACTATCCATTGAGGAATGCGGGTAACATCCACTGACTGACGAATCCCAAATAGGAAGAAACGCGCATCCTAGTGAATTTCGTTGCTAATCACACCATCCATCAGTTTACTTCGGCTTACATAATCAGACAATGTTGAAGCCTATGCATAAGGAGCCCGACAAGTCAACTAACTTGAGGCTGGGCAGTTCGGTTGAATCAATCGACGAGAAAATCTAAAAAAATTTAATCAAATAAATAACAGTCAAACAGTTAGACGACAGGTAAAGTACATAACCAACCAATCAACGAATCAAAAAAAAATAAAAGAAATCCAAAAAGACAGAAATTGTTTACTAACCTTAGACTCCTTTAAAGCTTCAATAAGTCGCAATAACTGACATATTAATTCAGGATTTGCTAATATTTTAAGGCTGGCCAATACAGAAGATTTTCCGCATAATTGGCTAGTCGCCGGCAAGTCATTATTATCCGAAGACAGACGATAAAAAATTGAATCAAATAGTGAATTTGGATTATTCAGTGCTTTTTCCATATTACTTAGTGATGGTAGACAAGCGTTGAATGAAAAACTGAAAAAATCATTCGAGTCAACTTGTTCATGAATTGATGGATAGGGTATATTGACATTAGAAAATGGCGTCACGTCTTTTTGTTTTGACGGCAACTCTAGAATAATCCATCGACACCATAACTCATCGACAAGTTGAGCAAGACGATCCTTAAGGGAAAGAAAAAGGCAAAATATAAAATTTTAAAAAATTCAGCACGTCGAGTGTGGGGACAAATACTCGTCGAATTGAAGAAGTTGGAATTCACCAGGTGACCACTGGATCGACTTCTAGTGGTTTAATGGCCTACAGCCTCGCTAGCCTTGTAATTGGAAGGGTTCTGCGTTTGAAGTCTGACGGTAGGTGCGTACTGACGAAGAGTACCGGACTAGGACGAAACAACTGGCTGTCTAGTATTCTCGATTAGTTCTCCAATGGTTCTCTAACCGATATCAGCTCATGATGAAGTCCTCTAAACAATTAAACCTCCTCAAACCAACAATTAAACTAAAATAGTCCAATAATGAATTGTGTTAGGCGTAAATAAAAGTTGAAGCATATTGGAAACAGAAACAGCTACTTTAATGAGTTTCGTACAGTCCGGGAGGTCGAGATTCGATTCCCCGCTACTATACATCTTAAATACCTCAACCTGGTTTACCAGTCTAGGAGAGTACCTGAAACAAGGAGAAAATTAGTGTTACGTGACCACAATGCCCGAGGGACGACTTGCTTGAGACCGATCACACACACACACACACAAACACATGGCCTGTTCGAATTGGTTATTAGATTTGTGTGTGTCAGCATTAGGAACCTATAGCAGCCGTAAATTGAGTCGGAACGTACCACTTTTTGCCGTCAACACTTTCCAAAACCCTCCGCTCTCAAGGCAGCACAACTGGTGGCCTGCTGACCATCTGAGGGGAAAACCTTACTTGCTCTTACATCCCTCTTCGCCAGCAGAACGACTTTGCCCACAGATCCCCTCAACATAATGTAAACATCATACTTACACAATGCCGGTAACTGCCTTCATTAGTCTAATCGCTATTCAAACATCCTTCCTGGCACAGTAGGACCTTCTAGGAACGTTACTTCCAACCAGTGTAGCTTGTTGCGTCATCACGATATGTAATCCCGATCACCATGTCACAGTAGTAGAGATAATAGTCGGGAGGTAATAGCTATCCATTAAACTCTGTTGTCTTTACCCATGTTACTATTCTTTCTTTCTCCCTCTCTTTCTCTCTCTCTCTCTCTCTCTCACACACACACACACACAAACATACATTTCTCTGATTATGACTGTCCTTTGGAAACACCCTTTATTCTCTCGAATTGTCTTCCTTCCTGAGTGTGGTACATCACATGTAAAAGCTCGGACTGGCTCACTTCTATGTTGAAACCAGTTAGTTAATTAGTTAGTTAGCCAGTTGGTCAGGTTTACTAGTCAGTTAAAAGTCCGAAAAAGAAGGAAGGTTGCGTGCATATGAGACTAGAAACCCTAACACCTCTACTGAAAAGAAGGATAGACATGTTACTCTTGCACACAGTCAACCATAAGTAATGTCATTATTGAATAATATTTAAAATGAAAGTTATAAATTAGTTAACGCTGACTGCCCTAAATACAATTCACTGTGGAGCCATGGAAAGAATGGTTAACCAAGTAATTATAAGTGACGAAATATTTTATTAATGCTTTACCCTACTTGTTTAAAATTAAACTGTGCAATTCAGTGATGATGAATTAGGCTTCAGTAATCAATAATTCTACCTGCTGTCCGACCGCAAGTCATGTACACTTCACGTATCAAAGATGTACCAATGGACGTAAACCTAATTGACTTCAGAGACTCAGGGATTAACTTGTTACCCGGGGGATAATCTCATTGATTTCAAATCTGCAGATGATATATTCCTCCTGGGTGAAAACGCTGATAAAACAGAGTAGAGTCTTCTGAACACCTTAAGCAACAATCTGAGAATGTTTGGTATGCCATTCGCTCCCGCCAAATGCAAGATGATGTTACAGGACTGGCTGGACGACACTGACACACTCCTAGTTTAGAAATAGGGAGTGAAGTGGTAGAGCACCTTGACCGCTTCACTTATTTGGCGAGTTGCATCAGCCAACGCCAGCTGGTTGATCTCTGACGAAATCTCAGAAGGGATACAGAAGGCTCTTTTCGTATGCCATCTCTGGCGTAGATATGATATTTGGCCATTGACCGAAGGGCGTGTGTACTGCTCAGAAATCCGCTCCGTTCTCATGTATGGTTGTGAGTGGCACATGGCCATTGAAAATGGAAGATATGTAAAGGCTGGCTAGCTGTCTTTGATTATAGGTGCCTGCCTTCTATCTCCCGTGTGAAGTGGTATAATAGGTTGAGCAATACTGAGCTGGTTAGGCGTCAACTGCTAGGTAGATGGGAAAGTAAATCAATCGACGAGGTTGTGAAGTTACATCGACTCAGATGGCTACGACATGTGTTACCCATGCCTAGCCAGCTATCGCCTTCCTCCATGATGGATAGTGTTAGCTGACATAGGATGAATCAGGTTGTTGGAAAAGATCTAGTGGTTGGTGGTCAAACCAAAACATTGCTTCATCAGTCAATGAAATCTACAACAGTTGGTATAAGCTAGTCAATCAAACAGTCAGTCACGTGAGGTGTAGACTTTATAACTTGTTGATTGGGGTCCTCGGGACGGTAAAAACCAATGAAGGCTGGAGAAAATTATCGGTGATATGGGCTTAAAATCGTTCTCATTAATGGCGTAGATGAATCCACACTCTTTTTGATTTGTCATATCATCCAATAAAACTCTATTGTTCTTCCACTATATTACTACTATTATTTTTCCCTCACTCACACTTCTGTTTATTATCTCTCTGTCTTTTGAATCTATCTTCTTTTACTCTCTTCTCTTGTTCTGTGTGGTACATGGAGGGAGACTGGGCAACTTGAAGTGCTGCAGCACATCTGTGCAAAGTTCGTATCCACGAACATAAGCTAGCCGTCAAAAGACATGATATCCACTCCCTCATATTGCCTCACTTCATACAGACAACCATGGACATCAATTCGATTGGGATAACGTTCAAATAATAGACAGAGGAAACACCAAGAATGCTAGAGAATTTTTAGAAGTCTGCCTGGTATTCCAGTGATTCATCAATCAATAGACACATTGAGATAGACAAAATTTATAGACCGATGAGAAAGAAACCTCACACACACACACAAAGGGTGAAAGTTCAAGTCAAAGAAACAATCAGTTCCAATACGAGTAACCGCCTAGAGGGTGTGAACATACACAAAAACAACCATTGACGTCAAAGGTCACCGTGAGAGATGATTAATAAACTCGTGGAGAAAGCTCACTTCAATTGAAATCGAAGTATGCGCTGAAGGAAAGTGTCGCCTAGTAGAGCAATGAAAGATTCGCAAATTAACCGTCCAGCTCAGAAAACACAACCACATCAAAGTTCTATCTATGTTGAAACCAGTCAGTTAGTTAGTACGCTTCACGCATTGTGTAGGAGAGCACGGAATACAAAATTAGTCGTTTTCGGAGTCTGTTTGATACTGGCTGAGAGATGAAGGCGAGAGATGGCTAAGCTGCCCGCAACTGTTCACATGGCATACGTGCATAAACGAATCGTCGAAGAAAGTCTGTCGAGCGATTATAGTTTCACTGTACGATAGTCCAAATAATGTGCGCAGGAAGTATTACAGAAATTTAACGCCGACAAGTCTTCTGTAACCTTCCGAGAGGATTGAAAAGAGCAACACCCACCCACAGTCTTACTTCTACTTCCGGCGTTTTTTGTTTGTCTCACTAAAACACAGAATGCAATCATTGCTCTTTTCTAGAGAGACTTCTAGATAAACTAATGATTATTTATTATTATTATATCCTTTAATTCCTAGAGGAACATAGGGCTTCAGCTGCGCACCTCCATTGCCTTGTGTTTTCTGCCAACTTCTTCACCCCGCTCCAAAAGTCTGCCCACATGCTTTCATCTCCTCCTCACATGACCTCCTCCAAGTCACCCTCGCTCTGACGACCAACTCGCCGCTTCCCTTTCGGGTTCCACTCGAGCGATGGCTTGTCTAGTGATGTCACTTGATGGTTTCCTCAGAGTATGGCCAATCCATCTCCATTTTTTCCTGCCTATTTGTTTCACAATCGGTTCCTGGTTGGTTCGCTCCCAGAGATCCCTATTGCTGATCTTTTCTGGCCGGCCATCTGATCTTGAGTATTGAGCGATCAGATGATTATGATTAAGATTAATTAATGATTATTTAATATTCCCATGATTTATTCAGTAAGAACCAATCGCCCAACAAATATGCAGGAGAAAGTGGAGATGGATCGGACACTCGCTGAGGAGACCGCCGGGTGACATCGCGCGTCAAGCCCTCGAGTGGAACCCGAAAGGGAAGCGGCGTGTGGGAGGTCGGTGCAAGGGTGACATGGAGGAGATCGTGTGAAGAGGAGTTGAAAGGGTATGGACTAACATGGATGCAGGTGAAAAGTACAGCAGAAGACAGAAGCAAATGGAGACGTTCAGTTGAAGCTCTATGTTCCATTAGGAAACCAAGGGAGCAATAATAATAATAATAATTTATTCAGAACAAAATATTTAAAGCGAACAATTTTGTTTTCAATAAATTCTTCTTCAGGGTCTCTCTAATGGTTGGCTGGCTGGCTATTGTATGCTTAATGGATTAATGGATATATAATTGTAAAGGCAAATTAGAATCATATCAGAAAGTGTATTGTAGAACAAGTATAAGTCAGATGGGATGGAACAATAGTCAGATAGTTTTTTTAATATGCATGGTCAATGAGAACATGGAATAAAATGAGATGAAATAATTTAATTTAGTGATGTGTGTGTACAAAAAAAACACCGAGAGGCATTACGTGACCTCAAAAAAAACGAAAATCTGATAATAACTAGACCTGATAAAGGAACTGGTACAGTTATCATGAATAAGAGTGATTATTTAGACAAAATGATTATCATTTTAAGCGACCATACGAAATTTCAAAACCTGAGCAGGTGTAAAGACACAACTGAGGCAACTGAACGCCAAATGGCTACGACACTAAAATCACTAGTTGAGAGTAATCTGATTCCTAAGGATAATACATTCGACGAATCGAAACCCTCAGGTACGCAGATACCAAGACTTTATGGTTTACCGAAAGTTCATAAGCCGGGAGTACCACTACATCCCATCTTAGATATGTGTCAATCCCCTTATCATTCTACAGCAAAGTGGTTGGTGAAGGCACTAGAACCGTTACATCGCGAATTAGTGAAATTCAGTGTAAAAGACGTATTCAGCTTTGTGGAAACTACCAAAAGCCTGAATGTAAAGGGAAAGAAAATGATGTCACTGGATGCAGCATCATTATTCACCAACGTCCCACTTCTTGAAACAGTCAATTACATATGTGACCAGCTGATAGAAAGAAAGATAGATGTAGGAATCCCACCCGAAAAAGTCAAAGAATTATTATTGAAATGCAATATGAATGTTCAGTTTATGTTCAGTAGTGGTTTTTATAGACAAGTTGATGGTGTAGCCATGGGATCACCTCTGGGCCCTATGCTAGCGGATATTTTCCTGGCAGAGTTTGATAATGGTCCACTCAAAGACACGATTAAAGGGCTTGACTATTATTGCCCATATGTAGATGATACCTTCATCGTTTGTGATAGAAATTTTAATAAACAAGAGCTTCTGAATTCTGTTAGTAGTGTTCACCCAACTATTCAGTTTACATGTGAAGAAGACAATAACAGTTTACCTTTCCTGGACGTCCTAATTACCATGAAGACAGACGGATATCTACAAAGGAAATTATTTAGAAAGAAAACTTGGACGGGTCAGTACACCCATTTCCATAGTTTCACACCGATTCAGCACAAAAGAAACTTAGTTAAGTGCCTTAGCTACAGAATAAAACGCATATGCTCAGAGGAGTGTATTAAGGAACAAATGCATAAAGTGAAACTCACACGGCAAGAAAATGGATATCCACAGAGCTTCCTAAAAAAGTATATGCCAATAACTACAGACAGGGTAAAGGTGGATACCGTAGACAAGAAACCTTTGTATCTTAAGTTAAGTTACAAAGGGGAAATTGCAGCTGACATTCCAAAATGTCGACTTAATAGAGCAGTAGATAGAACATTTCCTGCAGCTAAACTGGTACTCAGTTTCTCAACTAAACCAGTACCCACACAGCAAGTCAAGGATAAATTATCAAAGATGGCCTCATCAATATGTATCTATAAATTCAACTGCTCATGTGGAGCTAGTTACATTGACCGTACTCAGAGGGCTTTATCCATGCGCGCGCGTGAAAATGTACCTATACTGTTGAGTAAAGGAGTAACCGAATGCGTAAATAGTGCAGTCTTAGCCCACTTGGTAGATACTGGACACCCGATAAAACTTGACCAAGCGTTCTCAGTTATTTACCGCGTTCCTAGCAATTTATCTAGAGGAGCTTGACTATGTCTTCTATCAGCAGCTGAAGCAGTTGCAATTAATACCAGAAGACCATCATCTTTGCATACAGAAGAAGTATGTTTAACCTCTATGTTTACCTTGGCCTACAATAAAGCCAACAAATCCTCCATAAACATTAACACTATAAAAAATTCCCTTCACAATTTTCTTTTCTTTTCCTTCTTCTATTCCGCTTTTTCATTGACAAACGTTCATTTTCGGCTTTTATGATTTCATGACCTTTCTTATGATTTCTAACACCTTAGGTTTAAGTAGTGATTTTTCTAACTTGTTATCGTATTTACAAAATCTTGTTCATTCCACTTCATTATATTCATCATTATTATTTGACAATCATTCACCAATAGTACATTTAATTTTAATTTTACACTATATCATCGTTATTATTTTACAATCATTCTTATTGTTGTTATTGTCAACCTTGAACTTAAGTCTACACCGCCCCATTCGTTGGTTTATTTTCATATTGTCTCACACACCCTGATTACACTCACTCTTCAAAAGCCCTGTATTCTCTGTTGACTATATTTAAATACATACACACACATCATTAAATTAAATTACTTCAACTGATTTTATTCCATGTTCTCATTGACCATGCATATTAAAAAAACTATCTGACTATTGTTCCATCCCATCCCATTTTATACTTGTTCCACAATACACTTTCTGATATGATTCTAATTTGCCTTTACTGACTGGCTAGCTGGCTATTGTATGCTTAAATTAATGGATTTATTCATTATAGAGAGCCTGAAGAAGAATTTATTGAAAGCACAATTGTTCGCTCTAAATATTTTGTAATGATTATTTATAAGTAGTACATAATAGTAGTAGTAGTAATAATAATAATAAAAATAACGCAGAAAGAAAAGAACAAAACTTACCTTGCATCGTATAAGTGTATGCAGCATACCTTGAAATACCGATACAGCGTCCTTATTAAACTTTGTTTGTTCAGCGAATAAATGTTCAGCTAGTTCCAGATAACGAACTACATCATCGACACACGAACTAAGAAGCATTGGAAAAAAGAAAAGAAAAGACAAAATTGATGAGTATTCTTAACCGACATTTTCCTTGCGAAACTAATAAAATAGGCCTTTGAAGGATGTTAATTATGAACTTGAATTCTATTGTCGCTGCATGGATGTGACACATTTTTTGATTATGGAAAATGAAGAGGAAGCAAAGAACATCCTGTCTGGACAAATTTAACAAGGTTCATCCTGCAATAAATAAAAGGCAAATGATAAGTGAAACAATCTCTGAGAAAAATGGCACTATAATTAGCTCCGAGGATAGACGACTGGATCGCTGGAAAGAACACTATGAGGAGCAGTTTAATTGGCCCACAGCCACTCTCAACCTGCCGAACATCCAACACCTCCTCGAATGGGATATAGACATACATCCTCCCTTCCTTAACTGAGGTTACTAAAGCTGTCACCAATCTGAAACAAGGCAAAGCAGCGGGACCTGATGGAATAACTCCAGAGGTATTTAAGTACGGTGGAGACAGCTTACTGTCTGCATTAACTGAGGTACTAGGCAGCGTCTGGAAATCAGAAGAAGTCCCGTCGGGTTGGTGTAAATCACTGATTATCCCCATATACAAGAAGGGAGACAAGTCTTCCTGTGATAATCACAGAGGGATTAGCTTGACTAATATAGTATCTAAAGTCCTAGGCTCAATTATCATGCGTAGACTGAGTGGTGCTCGGGAAGCACAAACACGAGAGAGCCAGGCAGGCTTTAGACCAGGAAGAGGGTGTATTGATCATATCTTTACCCTCCGACAGGTTCTAGAACATAGGCATTCCTACCGGCGTCCAACAGTCATTATATTTCTTGACCTAAAAGCGGCATTCAATTCTGTCGACCGAGAGGTTCTCTGGCGATGCTTGACTGTGAACGGAAGGGAGGCCGAGAAAATACATTTCACTGATTAAGGCACTCTACTCGTACTCATACAGCCAGGTGAGGGCTTACGGCAAGTTGTCATCTGAAATGGTGACGACTAGTGGTGTCCGTCAAGGATGCCCATTATCCCCATTTCTATTCAACTTCATCATAGATGTACTAATGGCCCCATCAGTCAATGAAATCTACAACAGTTAATCTAAGCCACGTAGGAAAGTGTAGACTTCCTGACCGTTTGGGGTCATCGGGACGGTAAAAACCAATGGCTGGAAACAATTGGTGATATGGCTTAAAATCGTTCTGTGATGGCTAGCGCAGATGCATCCAGTCCTTGTGACTTATGATTTCCAATGAAACTATATTGTTCTTCGTTATTACTATTCCTTTGTCTCACACCTCTGTTTACTGTCTCTAATATGCATTCCTTCTACTTTCTTCCTTTGCTTTGCGTGCTACATGAAATGTGGCGACTTGAACTGCCGCACATATGTGCAAAGCTCTATGTCGAAAACAGACAGGCAATAAATTTTACCATCGAGAAAGAAAAAGACTCCTTATGACCAGAAAAGAGGATGGCACAATAAGAAGTGAATATAGAAAATCTACATCAACGGGTCAGTATACTCATTTTCTTCAGCTTCGTGCCCTTAAAATACAAATGCAATCTGATAAAGTGCTTGGTCCGCCAAAGAGCAAGAGCAATTTGCTCGGATGAATGTCTTGATGAGGAACTTAATAATATTAAACGATTGCTAAGTGAAAACGGTTATCCAGAAAAGTTGATTGATAAGAATATGAATCTAAAATCAAAGCAGCCTAAGGTACCAACAGTTCCTAAAAAGGCTTTATTCTTACAAATGCAGTTCCTTGGGGACAACATCAGCGAGATACTAACACAGTGCCTTAGAAATGCGGTAAAGCGAAGAGCATTTCTTGCTGCCGAATTACGCTGTGTCTTCAAAACCACTCCTCTTTTACGTTCGGGAGTAAAAGATAAACTGCCTAATTTCGCCTCTTCCATGTGTATCTATAATTAAACTCCTCCTGTGGAGCCAGTTAGTTGCATAGGCCGTACAAATAAGCGTGTTCCTTCATCTATCTCATCTTGTGGATGTAGAACACAAGACTGGTGTTAACCATGCTTTCAGGGTCATTTACCGCATACCAACAAATCTCAATTTCACCTTAAGAGTTCGACTACTAAATATTGCTGAGGCTGGCTGTTGGGATCCACACTAACAAGCCTAATTTATGCATCCAAAATAAGTTAGTTCAGACATTATCCTTACCTTGGCCATCTCCCGTGTGAAGTGTTATAATAGAGTGAGAGTAATACTGAGTTGGTCAGGCGTCTAGTATTAGGAAAGTCAATCGACGAGGTTGAAAAGTTACATCCGTTGAAATGGATAGAACATGTGTATCTCATACATTCCTAGCCATCCCTTCCGCCTCTCTCGACAATCAGAAATGTTAACTGACATAGGATGAATCAGGTTTTGTGTAAAAGACCTAGTGGGGTTGGTGGTCAAACCAAAACTTGACGGCATCAGTCAGCGAAATCCACGTAGGGAGGTGTAGACCACCTAACTTGTTGGTTGAAATCCTTAGGGATGGTAAGAACCAATGAAGACTGGAGACAACTTGTGATAGGGTTCAAAATCGTTCTTCGTGGATGGCACAGATGTATTCACTTACTCTTTGTGATGATTTATCATATCGTCCAATAAAATTCTATTGTTCTTCCACCATATTACTACTACTATTCTTTTTCGCCAAACTCACACACTTCCGTTTATTATCTCTCTGTCTTTTAAATCTATCTTCTTTTCTGTTTGTCTGTCTATTTTCAACATAGAACTTAGCACCGATGTGCACCAGTTCGAGTTACCACCTTCCAAATACCACACAAAGGTAGACAAGAAGATGAGTGAAGAGAATCAATAGAAATTGACAAGTATACGAGTGAAACAGAATGAGTAATGGTAGAAATGAAATGAATATGAAAGATTACAGAGACTGAATACATCTCCGCTGGCCATTGACAACGATTTTGAGCCATCTCACCACCTATTGTCTCCAGCCATTGATTCTTAGAGTCAGTCCCGAGGGTCCCAACCCGGAAGTCTGCATCTCCCTACCTGACCGACCGACTCAGTTTAACTGTCAAGGATTTCATGGATTCATGCCATGCCATGTTTTTGTTTGGCCACCACTTCACTTACTCTTTTCCAACCTGCACCTATCTACATCAGCTAGTAATGCCCGTCGGGGAGGAGAGCGATGGTTAAGCATGTGCAGCAACTGACCTAGCCATCTCAATCTATGTAACTTTATAGCCTCGTCGATTGATTTTCCCTCTTTGCCCAACACTCTACGCTTAACGTCAACATTACTTACCTTATTATACCACCTAACGTCAGAAAGAGATCGCAGACATCTATGATCAAAAACAGTCAACCTTTTCATGTCCTCAACTTGTATTGGCCATGTTTCAGAGCCACAGAGAAGGACGGAGAAAACTCCTGAGCAGTACACACCTCCCTTGGTTGATAGCCGAATGTCACGCCTACGCCAGACATGGTGTAAGTCACCGAAAGTAGCTCGAGCCTTCTGGATCCGTGCTGAGATTTCGTCGCCAATCAGTCCGTTGGTGCTGATACAACTTCCCAAATAGGTGAACTGGTCAACATGTTCTATCACTTCACTCCCTATCACTAAGCTACGAGTTGACGTAGTCCAGTCCTGTAGCCTCATCGTCTTACATTTTACAGGGGCGAATCGCATGCCAAACATACGAAGACTGCTCGCTAATCTAGGTGTTCAGAAGACTCTGCTCTATTTTGTCAGCATCCTCCCCTAACAGGACTATGTCATCTGCATATTCTAAGTCCATTAGATTATTCCCTGGTAACAAGTCGATTCCTAAGTCATTACGTTCAGTTAAGGATACTTCTATTAGCATATCTATGATGAAGTTAAACAGAAATGGGGAAAGTGGACATCCCTGTCGGACACCACTGGTTGTTACCAATTCAGATGACAATTCCCCATAAGCCCTTACACGACTACGTGAGTTTAAATAGAGTGCCTTGATTAGTGCAATGTACTTTCTTGGCACTCCCTTAACAGTCAGACATTGCCATAGTACCTTTCGATCCACTGAGTCGAAGGCCGCCTTCAAGTCAAGAAATATGGCAATTGTTGGACGCCGAAAAGTGTGTCTATGTTCTAGAATCTGTCGAAGAGTGAAGATATGATCTATGCACCCTCTACCTGGTCTAAAGCCTGCTTGATTTTCCCTTGTCTGTTCCTCCCGAGTTCTGCTTAGTCTATGCATGATTACTGAGCCTAGGGTTTTAGAAACTATGTTCGTTAGGCTGATCCCCCTATGATTATCACACGAGGACTTGTTTCCCTTCTTGAATATCGGTATAATAAATGACTTACCCCAGTCTGATGGAAGCGTCTCTGATTCCCAGACTTTACCTAGTACCTCAGTTAATCTACAAACTAGTATGTCACCCCCGTATTTAAACACCTCCGGAATAACTCCGTCGGGTCCTGCCGCTTTGCCTCGTTTCTTCTACTCTCCTCCTCCTCTCTTGTTTTATATGGTATATGGAGGGAGACTGGGCAACTCAAATTGCTGTACATCTGTACAAAGTTCTATCTCTGTTGAAATCAGTTAGTTAGTCAGTCAATCAGTCCCACACACCACCCACCCACCCCCGCCAGGGTAACTGATAAAATAAAAAGTATAAAATAAACTACACTCACCGATATTCTGTCTCATCGATTTCCCTGTAGTTTGCTTCAAGCTCTAAGTTAGCCATACAATCACCTTTCAACTCTTTGACATTGAGTATTTTTTTGCAATTTTCTTTTTCACCAACTACTATTGAACATACACACATCAATGTATCGATTGAATCTTCTAAATCAATTAAAGCTTGATGCAACTTTAACAAATATGAACAATTTGTATGCATGTCCAGTAGTTCTTGTAGTTGACTAAAGGCTTCTTCATGAAACGCTGAAGCTGATGATACCCTTTTATCCTCTTCATCATTGAGTGAACTAAGTTTGACAGACGTTAATTGAGGTATAACCTATATAGAACAGAAAAGAAAAGGTGTTAGTGAAGGTTGGTGTGGGGAGGGGGGGAGCATCAAAAATCACTCGATTAAGATGATAATAATAATAATAATAGCCGTGTCCATTAGGGTCCTTCTAGGCTAGAACGCTGCCAAAAAAAAACAGAGTAGAGTCTTCTGAATACCTTGAGCTTGAATCTACGAATGTTTGGCATGCGATTCGCTGCCCCCAAATGTAAGATGATGTTACAAGACTGGCTGGACTATACTGACTCACTCCTAGCTTAGAAATAGGGAGTGAAGTAGTAGAGCACCTTGACCACTTCACTTATTTGGGAAGTACCATCAGCCAACGCCAGCTGGTTGATCTCTGACGAAATATCAGCACGGATACAGAAGGCTCTTTTCGTATAAGCCAGTTTACGCGTCTCTGGCGTAGAGGTGATATCTAGCTGTCTATGGACCAAAGTGCGGGTGTACTACTCAGCAGTCAGCTCCATCCTCCTTTATGGCTAGCTGTGAGTGAAACATGGCCATTCAAAGTGGAAGACATGAAAAGCCTGACTAGCTAGCTGTCTTTCATCATAGGTACCCATGTTCTATCTCCCGTATGAAGTGGTATAATAGGGTGGGCAACATTTAAGTTAGGCATCCGTAGAGCACTAGGTAGGTGGGAGGGGAAATCAATCGACGAGGCTGTGAAATTACATCGACTGAGATGGTTAGGACATTTGTTGCGTATGCCTAGTCATCGCCTCCCTCGACGGGCAATGTTAGCTGATATAGGGTCAGGCTGAAAAAGAGCTAGCGGAGGTCAAACCAAAACATGACTTCATCAGTCAATGAAATCCATAGCAGTCTAAGCCAGTCACGTAGGAAGGTGTAGACTGGCTTCCTGGTTGGGGTCCTCGGGACGGTAAGAACCAATGGCTAGAAGCAATTGGCGACATGACTCAAAGTGGTCGTTCTCAATGGCTGGTGCAGATGCATCCACTCCTTGTGACTTATGATTTCCAATGAAACTATATTGTTCTTCGTTATTACTATTCCTTTGCCTCACACCAGTGTTTACTGTCTCTATTATGCATTTCCTCTACTTCTTCTCTTGCTTTTTGTGCTGCATGGAGGGAGTGTGGCAACTTGAAGTGGTGCACATCGGTGCAAAGTTCTATCTCGAAAACAGACAGACAGACCAGTAGGGTACAGCAGGTTAAAGATGAGGCAGTAACTCAACCAAGAAGAAGACATTGCGAAATGCTCGCGCTAAATGCATCACGAATTGACAAAAGTTAGAATTCATGGGCTGGCTGGCTGGCCATTGGATCGAGTCCCATTGGCTGATGAATGGTCTACAAGCTCGCTAGCCTTGTAACCAGAAGGTCCTGGATTCGAACTTCAGTGGAGTGGGTGCGTACTTCTGAAGAGTCCCAAACTAGGCTGACGAAACAACTGACTGTCCAGTACTCCCTGCAGGTTTTTCGATGGTTCTAACTGATGTCAGCTCATGATTGAAATCCTCCATCCAATCAGGACAAAATCCCTACAAAACCAATACTTGAAAATAATAATAATAGAAAAACTGTACAAGACTTAACGTTTTATCTCACAGGGGGTGTTTTTCCATGTCATAAAACAAAACGAAGAGGTGTATATATGAAAGGGTGAATAATACCGTACCCGGCTAACAACTACCACCTTGCCGTGGTGGTCGGGCTTGAATACCGCAGTGACCCAACAAGTTAAACTGGCTGGGACTCATGTTCCTGCAGGTCCTACCATGTCAGGAAGGTTGTTTGGATAGCGGTTAGGCTAAAAGCAGTTATCATGGGGTACATGGGCTCCAGAATTCAATGGCGTATGAACCCATATGGGTCACCGAAAACCATGGGAATGCAGCTATTCCGCTGCCTTGAGGATTAGACACCAAGTCAAAGGGTCGGGGGGTGGTCTCTCAATAAAACCACCTGCTTCGGTTTGGGCGCCCGGGCAGTATCTCAACATTCACACAACTTGTGTGGCCATATTGTACCAAGTTTTTTCTGCGTTTAAATAATAATAATAATAGAATACTACCGTAAACAAATAACTTCAATTTTTGCATGACAGAATTTTACAAAAAATAACTTAATTCCCTGATGTAAGAATAGAACTTGTGCACAGTGGTGGCGGTAGAGTATAATTCCATTATGGGTAAAGTTTATTGTGATAAAGTCACACACAGTGATGTTATACAGTAAGTAATATTTACTGATGATAACCACGTTTCAAGCACAATTTATTTCTGCTGGTAATCGTATCAAAACTGTTCATCTTAGTACAGTCTAGCTGGGAGTTAACAGACATTGAAATAGTTAGATCGTCCGCATACTTAACAAAGTTCATTTCATCAGAGTGAGGCAAATCATGCAAAAAGAAAGAAAACAGAAAAGGAGAAAGGACAGCGTCTCGAGGGACACCAGCCTCAGTAAGCAACGAAGTGGACGACTTTCCCTGACATACAGTGTACTGCTTTCTTCCTGTGAAATAACAATGCAGCCATTTGACAACCCAACAGTCAGTTTGAGTTTCAGGAAGCTTGTTTAACAAAATGTCCCTAGGTACTGAGTCAAAAGCAGACGTGTAATCTGGAAAGGTGCAGAGAACAAATTTAGCCCCCTTGTCTAAGCTGGAGATAATTTTATGATACAAGACTGCAACTGCATCTAAAGTACTTCTACTGTGTTTATAAGCGAATTGTTTAGGATCGTTAAAGGCTTTAAGTGAAGGTTGAAGATTAAGTAAGAGTAACTTTTCCATAGCTTTTAGAAAAGGAGACGTAATAGCAATAGGTCTAAATTTAAAACATGCTCTAGTAGACAACTTAGGGACAGGTACAATTTCGATGTCCTTCCAAACGGTTGGCACGACATTTCTAGAGAAAGATTCGTTAAATATGTCCATAAGAGGATAACACAGGATGTCCGCACATTTTTTAAGAATAACACTAGGCAAACCGTCTGAGGCCAAACTACACGAAGGGTTCAGAGACTGGAGACATTTTTGAACATCATTTGTATTGAAACCAGGGAAGCAGGTTTCATTAACACTTGTAACACTAGAAAGTTTGGCATTTGTGGGAAAATATATGAAAGAATTGTTTAGTGTGCAAACATCAAAGGAATAAGGAATACTATTCATCTGCTTACCACCAGTAATTTGTTTGAAAAGTTTTCATATATTAGACGCATTTTTACACGATATAAACATGTGGTTGTAAATTGAATTCACCCTGTGCATTTCAGATTTTATTAGGATGTTAATTCTTTTCAAACCACTATTATCCCTCATTTTATATAACTTTTCTTTTTGCCTGCGAAGCTTTTTAAGTTGAGGGGAGGCGAAACGGTCAAATCTGATTAAGAGCGTTTCTCTGGGACAACAGATATCAAGACAAAATTTGAGATAACATGTTATATTAGAGATTGTGTCATCAAGAGAGTCTTCATTAAACAAGTCCCGCCTTGTGTCTTTGAGCATGCCCCTAAGATTCTGAACATTCTCCATAGAGAAACATCTATGTACAGTTTTCTTGGAAAGGTGTGAAAAAGTTTTCTTGTGTAACTTTCCATAAATTTTAGGTAAAACCTGTACAATACAATGATCCGAGATGAAGAGAGAGAGATTGATTACTTTGAATCTTCCTTCATCGAATATACACCCAACACGCGTAATAGAAATGACTCAACTGAGTCGATGGCACAGTGGTTAAGGACTCTCGCCAACCATGCACATGGTCCGAGGTTCGATCCCCTGCCGACGCACACCTGATATCTATGGTCGGTCTGCGAAATTTGGGCTACCGATATCCATGCTGGAAATTCCATACTTGTACTAAAAATACAGCGTGGAATCAAGCTGTAATCAAAAATAAAATAAAAAAATACCAGATATATGAAAAATACTACTACCAATCATCAAATCAAGCGATGACAAATAATGATGGAAGCATATAAACGAGGTTCGAAAGTTACTTACTTTACTTTACTTCGGCTATCTCCTACGGGAGGATCAGCCGGCTTCATGAACGTCTCGAATCATCGCTGCTCAGGCGCGGCAATTTGTAAGAGAGTTCATGAAGTTTCATGGGAATTTGGTACGAGTGATGTCCCCAGCATCGCTCGGCCTTTTGTTTGAGAGTGCAGCTCTAGCCTTTACACAGCCAAGTGTGACCTACAAGGCAGTAGGAGTGGAGTAAGGAGTCCACTATCCATTGGCAGCCGGTGACCGGAGTTCGGTTCATACGCCTTTTTGAATGGGGCCAGACATCCAACAAGCCCTTTGTCCATACGTCTGCCGGTGAACTCCAGTGAGCTTCATACGCCAGTCGTTGGAGGTTTGGAATCAGGGTTTAGCCATCTCCCCTAGACCGTCATCCAATGGGCAGTCAACCCGGTGGAGAGCGCCGGGCATCCGCTTTCGCCCTCTCACTTTGGTGAGAAACACCTCCGCCACGTGAAGGCAGTGAGTAGGACTTCCTCAGGAGAGGCTATGTAAGACGCCCGGTCATATGGGAGCATTTCAAGAGGTGTGCGGAGGGGTGGCCAACCCGCAGCGCAAGGCACCCACCCCCGACCATCCTGAGGCTTCGAAAGTTGTGTAAGTAGCGCCTTGATATGATTACCAGCAGAAATAAATTGTGCTTGAAACGTGGTTATCATCAGTAAATATTACTTACTGTATAACATCACTGTGTGTGTGTGCGACTTTACCCGTAATCAAAATTAATTCCCCTTTTTACACTGTTAGTAAACATTCATTAATTTTGTCTAATTCAAAAATGAATCAAAGATTTGTTATGTGAACGATACACGAAAGAGTTTAAAAAAAATCCAATCACCCATGAAAGCATTGATCATGCTATCATAAAATATAGATAGGTACTATAAGTACTGTCTAACACAATCGCCATCACCGTAGAGTCCCAAAACTACAATGAAACAGCTGTCCAGTACTCCCCTGATGTTTACTGCTTCTCT